TGATAGTGAACAGCCATGACGGACACTACGTGAGGTTGCAAGTAGTGTTTATTTTATTTTTGATAGATTAAATTTACTTGATAGTTTTTTGCAGCCAATATGTAATCGTTCATATATTGACAAAATTTCTTGATGACCGTTCAAGGAATTACTGATTCTCACGCACTTTCTCATATTGTTGTAATCCTTATATCAATTAACCTCCTAGAACAATTTATAAATTATATTAATTTAAACAATTTCACCCTATATGTTTGCCCTTTCTTGTATAACCCTGATCATGTCAGTAAAGTAGAAGAGATTTTGTAATTATATCTAGAATATTGTAACTATTTCGTATAAGTATAGGTATAGAGATGGTTAAGTTTCAATTGATATCATGAACAGGTGAATATTATGCCATCAATTAATACCTGAAATCGCTGGATAGCCGTTTCGTCCTAGTGCGGCACTCCTCAGCAGTGCTCATCCACTACTCCGCCCCGCAAGATTCGAACCCAGGACCTATCAGTCTCGCGCGAGCGCTTAACCTCTAGACCACTGAGTCGGCATCCAACAGTGTTAATAGCTAACTTCAGCCGATCTACAAAATTGCGCCACCTACACCATTTTCTTCAATGAGCTGATGTCTCACAACAGACCCAGTTGAACTCCACTGGTCACTGCTTCTCACTAGAATTCCAGAAAATGCCTCTTGAAGTCAGTCTCCGGTGAGCAGATGATGATTATAAAGATTTTAACAGAACATTTACTTATTTATTATATATTGAAAAGATAGGTTTATTAGTTCGAAAACACGAAATATTCAGTAATCATGTCATGAAGCTCATTTATTAGTTATATATTTGACTTTCATTTAATATGTAACACATGTTTACACTTTTTACATACACAAAAAAATAATTCATGTGGTTATTTAGCTTTAGGTCTAATTCACATTTACTTATTTCTGTAGATAAATTTACAACAACAACAATAGCAACAAATACATATTTAATATCATAAGACAAGTTGTTATAGATTTGAACGGAAATGTTTCAATTCATTTTCATGGTTAACATGGTAACTGATTAAAATCACTTTTAAACTAAAACCAATCACCATAAAAATCGTTGTAACAATCGATTGTAATCTATAAAACAAACTAGTTCATTATTAAATAAATGATCTATCGAACCTTATGTTGTTGTAAATAATCATTTTTCCTTCAATAATTCCCTTTCTTATTTTAAAATATATTTGGTTTGATAATTATGTAAGAGTACTGAATTGTGTAATGTAAAATACTATCATCTTACTTACTTACTTACTTACGCCTGTTACTCCCAATGGATCATAGGCCGCCAACCAGCATTCTCCAACCCACTCTCTCCCCGACCTTCCTTTCTAGTTCCATCCAATTCTTGTTCATTTTTCTCATGTCTATCTCCATTTTCCGGCGTAATGTGTATTTTGGTCTTCTTCCTAACCTTTGGCCCTGAGGATTCCATGTGAGGGCTTGTCTTGTGACGCAGTTGGGTGCTTCCCTCAATGTGTGTCCTATCCACTTCCAGCGATTCTTCCTGATTTCATCCTCCGCTGGGATCTGGTTTGTTCTCTCCCACAGTAGGTTGTTGCTAATAATGTCTGGCCAACAGATCCGAAGTATTTTGCGTAGACAACTGTTAATAAACACTTGTATTTTCTGGATGATTGCTTTCGTAGTTCTCCAGGTTTCTGCCCCATACAGTAGAACTGTCTTGACATTTGTATTGAAAATCCTGACCTTGGTGTTGGTTGACAGTTGTTTTGAGTTCCAGATGTTTCTCAGTTGTAAATATGCTGCTCTTGCTTCGCGGATCCGCGCTTTCTCATTTGCATCAGCTCCATCCTGTTCATCAATGATGCTGCCCAAATATGTAAAGCTTTATACATCTTCCAAATCTTCTTCGTCAATTGTGACTGGATTGGTGCATGCTGTGTTGTATCGGAGAATTTTGCTTTTCCGTTTTTGTATATTGAGACCTACTGCTGCTGAGGCTGCTACTACACTGGCCGTCTTCTCCTGAATTTGTTGTTGCGTGTGCGATAGAAAGGCCAGATCATCTGCGAAGTCTAGGTCGTCCAGCTGCATCCTAGATGTCCACTGTATTCTGTGCTTCCCTTTAGATGTTGATGTCTTCATGATCCAGTCGGTAGCCAGGAGAAAGAGAAAGGGTGAGAATAAGCAACCTTGCCTGACACCGGTCTTTATTTCGAACGACTTGTCAACTGTCCTCCATGCACGATATTGCAGTGTGATCCATCATATGAATTCTGCATGATATTGACTATCTCTTCAAGCACACTGTAGTGTCGAAGAAGTTTCCATAGTGTTGTTCTGTCCACGCTATCAAATGCTTTTTCGTAGTCAACTGCTATTACATACACAGCAATAAATACTGCAAAAGACATCTAATGTAGCGCCGAGAATTACAAAAGAAAAAAAGGACGATTCTGAACACCAATGCATTAGGCAGCAACTAAATCACGCTGGTTGGCGAAGCGTGGAAGAGATGAAAGCGTTTAAATACATAGACAGCATAATGCCAAACAGAAAGGATATGATGCTAAGGTTGAAACACAAATAAGAGGGCAAAAAGCAGCATTTCTATAACTGGAAAATATCTGAAATTTAAAAGAACTGTCACCCAAGACAAAAGTCAGAATTTTCAACAATAATGTCTAAACAATTCTATTGCACGGTTTTGAGAACTCAAGCACAACCACAACCACCATCAGAATAGTAGAAGTTCTTACAAACATCAAACTATCAAATTGCATGATTGTGTATGCGTCCACTAGTAATCCTCATAGCAATGGGAATGAAGGCAGACCATAAAACAGACGATGTGTAAATTAAGGCGAAAAACTAAGAGCATGAGTAGAACTTGATAACACTTCAAAGGTAGAACCAAGAACAGGTTTGTTTGGAGATTCTTGATTGCATTTCTATGCCTCAAAATGAGTAACTAGCTCAGATTAGTAGGTAAACGATAACTTCGACTCAATTAATAAAGCAAATTATATTTCTAGCGGGAAAAAAGAACAAATTATAAGCATTTTTACAATATCCTATAAAGATAGCTATATTTAGTCAGATTTGTAACTAATTATAATTAGATGATAAAAAAATGCTTGCAGCTGGATTGCATAAACTAAATGTGTAGCATTTTCTAGACATTAGGTATTTTGCATTTTGTTTCGAGATATAAATTTTATTCAAGAAACAGCTTTTTGATGAGGTAATTATTAAAAATATATACTGTGAAGATGATACATTTTGATCAATCTTCTGTATTCTACAGTTCAAACTTTTTAATCAGACACATTATGACCAGTGGACTCCAACAAGGTCTGTTGTGGGATAGTAACTCATTAATGACAATGGTGGATGTGTCGCTCAATTTCGTGGATTGATTGAAGATGGACATTAACACCGTTGGATGCTGGTTAAGTGGTTTAGAGGTTAAGCTTTCGCGCTCGAGACCGATAAGTCTTGGGTTCAAATCTCATGGGGCAGGATAGTTGGTGAGTACTTCTGTGGAGTCCCACAGCAGCACGAAACGGTCGTTCAGTGCTTTCAGGTTTTCCATGTTGGTCTAACTTCAATTGACTCATGATCTCAACTATTAAAATTACTATAATTATCCACGAAACCCGTTCTGATATTATGATTTAGCGCCATTCACATCCAAAGATACTGGTGCGTGACTCTGATTTCTGGCCTAGTTGATTGTATTAATCACAACTTCATTCAACTATACTGAATGCATTTTACCATATTAGTACAAAATATTACAGAATACATTTATACTTACGTTCATCATTTAATAAGTCTTATTGTAAATTAGTTCTATTGACGTATTGAATAATATATAAATTCAATACAACCTTCATTTTATCCTTCAAAATTTTCTACATATACTACTTAAATCTATTTTGTTCACAAAATGAATATGAAGATTTTATGATCAAAAATTTCATTCTATGTAAAACCTAATTTTTTTATGTACACTTTATTTTCACTATATATTTACTATACAAAATTTGATTTTTTTTATCTAGATGTAATGAGTTCATTGTGATACTGATCTGACACAACCAAAGATGGAGGAGAAAAACTAACAAACAAACAAGCATCAAACTAACAGATTTTACTTAAAAAAATGTATAAATAATGTATATGTGAATTTTCTAATATTTATTCACTTCGTTGAGATAAGATAGGGGTTAGAGATAGTCAACAGGAAACTAATCTACTTCGATACTAAATTTATGTTATTTTTTTTATTTTTAAAATAAAGTTTAATAATATCTGTTTATAGACTAGTATAGGATAATAATGTCTTAAAATAGTCATATTGTTAAACATTTACGTCATGTATTCTTTTCAGATTTAAGAATATACATTTCTGACCGATACTTCAAAATTATGCATAATCACTTAATAGTATACTTTTGAAAATTACTCAATAAATAATTAGTAGAGTTTAACTGGGTCTATTATAAGATAATAACTCACTGAATACAATGTTGGACGATGGCATAATTTCATGAATTGATTTAAGTTAAACAATAACATCGTTGAATACCGGATCAATGGTGTAGAGTTTAAGCGTTCACTCGCTAGACCGATAGGTTTTAATTGACTCATGAATTCAACCATTACAATTACTATGATATCCACAAAACTCCTTTCTGACTATATATTATAGTTTGTTAGATTATTCACAATATTATGATACATAAAAATCGAAAACAAAAACAACCAAACAATAAAGTCTTTTATTACAACACTTTAAATTCATTTCATTTTAATCATTACAAGCATTAGTTTTATTTAAAGTTTGGAAAGAGCAAATTTCAATGTAGTTTTGTGCTAGAAGAACGACAAATGAAATATATACAACCTATTTCAAAGTTGTCCAAATATATTTTAAATCTCTTGTAAGAGTGATGCTGTCAACTAGATCATTATTATTATTATTATTATTATTATTATTGTGATCTAAATATTTACATATACTTATGATATAATAACCGTTTTATTGATCATAATCAGATAAACATATTTACCCTTACTTATTATGGAATGTTTTTATCATTGTATTTCTATATATTCAATATAATAAATGAAAAGAAAAAGTTATTTTCAATGTCGTTACTAAGCATGCAAATAATCAATGTATCAAATGATACTTTACATAAATATTCCCTGGAATGTTTGATACATTAAAGTAAAGATTCTCCTCTCATTGTAAGATTTTAGAAAAACAAAAAAAAAGGAAAAGAAAAAGAAATATATATCATTTATCATTTAAGTAACTAAAGTTACAAAACATTTCTATTCTAAATGATTTTGTATCTTATTAGATTTTATACACCATTTAAATTACAATGTATTAGATTATTTGATGAATTTAATTGTAACGCATCATTTTGACTATTATTTCTTGGATAATCTAAATTTAATAAATGTGTACTAGCATCTAATGGAATTTCAGATATTGTTAATTTAGGTTTATCGGTATAATGTTTTGTTTGTTTTCTATTACGACACATTAACATATTTATAATATGTATACGAAAACGTGCACCAAATGCTAAATATAATATCCAATTATTTTGATTACCAAAATAAATTAATGAATTAAAAAATTGTCTTAATATCCATGATATACATAAATCACCAGTTAGTTTTGCTGCTGTACGTCCTTCACTACCTTCACCATCAAATAATTCAAATAATAAAAATAATGGATTAGTTAATAATGTTATAATATTCATTGTAAGTAATAATAATGATGCACGACTTTCACGATTATATCCAATAGAACGATTTCTTTTTTGAATAATTGATGATATACGAGTTAAACGATTACGTTTGCGACGTTGATAACGTACTAATGAAGCTATAACAGCTGATGAAATTAACATTGTTATAAATGGTATTACACGAAATACAATCAAATCTAAATTATAAACAAGTTTAGTTAGATCAATACTTTCATGTGTATTTCCAAATAATTCTGTAGAATTTCTTCGTTCACATGATACTAATGCTTCATAATCTATTGAATAATTAGTAAGATTATTATTTGTTATCATAAAAATATTTGATGAAGATGGTTTAGATGATACTATTGTTATTAAAATACCAGATAAACATGAAAATGTTATTAATAAACTAATTGTATAACGTGTTACTTTACCAGTAAATATAATTCGTGTTTTTAATGGTGAAATAACTGATGCTAAACGTTCAATAGATAAACCAGTTTGTAATAAATTTGATGTCCATAATAAACAAACAATTGTTATCACACGAATTAAACATGTATAACGTCCAAATATATTACCTAATATAATATGATACATATGAGTAAATATTACTTCAGCATACATATCATTTGCAGCAATTAATAATATAAAAAAATCACTAGCTGTTAATGTGATAAACCATGCACGTGTAGTTGATGCAAATACACGTGGATGTTTTAATAATACTAAAAAGCATAAACCACTAAATATAATACCAATAATATTTGCTATAATCATATACCATGAAAAAAAATACCATATAAATCCATCAGCTACATAACGACTTGTATGATTGAATGGACAAAATTCTGATAACATTATGTAATAGTTTGTGTTGCCTGTTTGGTTTTCAATAATCAATAACTAATTAATTCCGTATCAATCAAAAGTAATCCTTCTAATTAATATATATTTAGAAAATGATCTCTCTTTATTTGATGTTTATTATGATTCATGTATAGACAAATAAAGTCAAAGGGATTGATGTGAATAGATTTTATAAATAAATAAACAAAACTTCCTTTTTTTGTCTTTCAAAATAACATTCATCTATTTGTTAACCAACAAAATTCTCTATATAATATTAATTGACCAATTAAAATTGTGGGAAATTTCTTCTTTTTTTTAACTTTTAACTTAATAGTGATTGGTTGTAAGTAGAACATCAAAGATTATGTAAAGAATGAAAAATATTTTTGTAAAAAAAATTATTTTTTGTTGTTGAAGAAAAAATGATTCATTTCATTCACTTTGTATTTATATCTTCCGATTGTTGTTTAGGGCTGTAATGAATAAATCGCTTGTTGGTATATATGCATTCTGTGAGGATTGTCTCCATATTAAGAGGCTGATTAATTGTATTCCTAAACAATATCAAGTGGGTTAAACTTCAACTCAGTACACAAGCAAATGGCTAACAGAACTTAGTAGGTAAGTGGATAATGCGATAGCGTTTGAAGCGAACGTTATTCGGTTCGAATCCTGAAGTGAATATCAACTCTGCGATGCAGGTACATCGAACTCACAAGTCAGAAATAGGACAAAACGCGCATGAACCTAGATACCATTGCTAGCCACTATTCATATTTGCTTATAAATAATTAAGTTTTTTTGATTAATTTTTCTAAATAAGTATGTCATCGTAGCTTTGTATAAATAAAATTCAAAGTATCAGAAGGAGTTTTGTGAAGATTGTAGTAATTTCAATAGTTGAGATCATGATTCAATTGAAGATAGACCATCATGGAAAACCTGAAAGCACTAGACGGCCGTTTCGTCCTATTGTGGGACTTTTCAGCAGTGTGCAACCACTATCCCGATTCGCTAGATTCGAACACAAGATCTGTCAGTCTCGCGCGCGAGCGCTTAACCACTAGACCACTGAGTCGGCATCCAACGATGTTAATATGACTGCAACTAATCCACGAAATTGAGCGTCACATCCACCTTTGTCATCAGTAAGTCACTATCTCACAACTGACCCGGATGATCTCCAGTGGTCATTGCTTATCAGTAGAACTCCAGGAAATACCTCTTGAAGCCAGTCACTAGTGAGCAAGTGTTGACTAGTATCAGAAGGGGTTTTGTGAAGGCTGTAGTAATTTCAATTGTTAAGATCCCGCGAGCGGTATCGTGGATGTGCACTGCTGAGTAGTCTCACAACAGGACAAAACGACCTTCCAGTCTTTCAGGTTTTCCATGGTAATCTAGCTTCAAGTGACTCATTAACTCAACTATCGAATTACTATAATATCCACAAAATTCCCCTTCTGATTAATTTATTATTTCGTCTGATTATTTTTTTTCTCAGTAAAGTATGTCAACCTTGCTTTATATAAATAAAATCCAAAGTATATTATATAGTTTTCTTTTCATGAAGACCTAAAATATAGCTGAACACTTATATTAATAGGTTATAACATGAAATCAAATTATACCGGTATAGAAGCCTCGAACGTGACGGTATGACTAATGAACAAAAGTAGCCAATACTGTAACGGTAACAAATCATTTTCTCATGATAAAATTCAACAAATCATTGATTTGTTGACAGACAATATTCAATTTCTTTACGTTATCAATAGAGTTTTAACGGAATTTATAGAATCTTGAACTTTCAAGGAACAACGAAATTAGAATTAATTTTTCACAGGTTGAAATCATGAGTCAATTGAAGCTAGACCACATTGAAAAACCTCGAAGCACTGGACAGCCGTTTCGTCCTAGTATGGGACTCCTCAGCGGTGCGCATCCACAAACCCGCCCCCCGCAGGATTCGAACCCAGGACCTACTGGTTTCGCGCGTGAGCACTTAACCATTAGACCACGGGGCCACAAAACTCATCCTGTTAATGATCAACTGCTCACTAGTGACTGACTTCAGGAGAACCTCCTGGAGTTCTAGTGAGAAGCCGTCACCAGTAGAGTTCAATCAGTCTGTTGTGAGATATCAGCTCACTGAAGACAATGGTGTTCGGTGGCGCAACTTCGTGGATTGGTTGAAGTTAGACATTAGCGCCGTTGGATGTCGGCCCAGTGGTCTAATGGTTAAGTGCTCACGCGCGAAACCAGTAGGTCCTGGGTTCGAATCCTGCGGGGGGCGGGTTTGTGGATGCGCACCGCTGAGGAGTCCCATGTAGGACGAAACGGCTGGCCAGTGCTTCGAGGTTTTCCAATGTGGTCTAGCTTCAACTGATTCATGATTTCAACCTGTGAAATTTCCTAAAATCTCCACAAAACTCATTCTGATAATTAATTTTTCACTTACTACTTAATATAATTTCGGATTGTTATGTAATTTCTTTTTATTGGAAAAGAAATGTAATTCTCATTAATTACGGAAATGAATGATAAAAAGCTAACATTTACTGATGTACACACTTAGTCAGTACATAAAATCTGAATCAGCAAAAAGATATTACAACTTAAGCTGACAGAACTTTTTATAAATTAATGAATTTAATACTAAGATCTCAAGACATTTATCATATAAAACTGTTTATCATAAGTCTAAACTTAACATAAAAGTAATTACATAATATAGTTACGTATATTAAGCAAAGGTTAATAGTTGATATAAATGGAATCCAGAACGCTCATATCGCCTCAGCTGGGTGTGCCTGGATCCCAGAGTTGACATTCATTCAGAGACTCTAATTCAGCACGTTTTGCACAAACATATGGTTATTTGGATTCAGGAGCTAGGTGTAAAACATTATGGCTTTTTGGAGTGAACGGTAGTCGGCTTGAATCTCGTAATGAACATAAACTGTGATCCAGACAAGTTTAGTTGACAAGAAGGGAAAATCCGATCTCTGGATTCTACTGCTAGCCAACATTCATCTTTGCTTAAAATTGCATAATCAATCATTTGAAGGTCTTTTTAAAATATGTGACTCAGTTAGGATGTAAAATTTAGCATTCTTGGCTTTGTGCCACACTCATTGGTTGACAGTCATTTGTTCTTCAGGGCTGCTTAAATCGGGAAAGGTATAGACTGATTCCTATGTATAAATCAGTGCTATTAAAAAAAGATCGTTATCATCATTTATTGTTCCCTACATTTTATTATTGTGATCTAAAAATGGAATTATTTGTATAACTTTTCTAGTACACACATGTACAAGTCAGATATTTTTTATTATTTCTGAAGAATCTGCCTTATTTTCACGGACTTCCACTTGGAAATTATGATATTCATATTTAAACTAGAAACAATAACATTATTGCGGATTTAGTTTATATAAAGTAAAAATAACGTGCAAATTAGCGCAAATATTTAAATATAATCAACAATGACAACAGAGATATAGAAAATATAATTTATTAAACCTATGAAACCATATGTTAATATATTTATAGTTGATATTACATATGTTATTGTTTTTATCGACTTAATGTGAACTGTATTATCATGTGCATTGGTGTTTATACTGATCGAAGCTATTTTCGTTTCTAACAAAACCTGATCTATTTGTCATATCTGTAACAATGCGTTTCATTTCATTTTTGTATTAATTGTTTGAATCTTCTCGTTGATGTTTAAGAAAGTTAACTGATCGGTTTCATATTGATACATGTGCTTCCTATGTGGATTGCCTCGATATTGCTTTAAGTCACAAGCAGGTACATTCATTCATTTGACGAGTCCAAAGTAAGACGAAAAGTGGGTTATGGATTCCACTACTAGATACTATTAATTTATGCTTATAATGCTCGCAACTTAAAGCAATATCGAGGCAATTCACATAGGATGGATATATACCAATGAGAGACTGATTAATTGCAGTCCGAAAAATCATTGAGAAGATTCAAATAATCATTTCAAAATATGAATTAAAACTTAACCTTGATGCACAAAGTAGTAGGCATCTAAACTCAGCAGGTAAGCCGATAACTTGATGGCATTTGAAACAAAGAGTACTGGATTGGAGTGCTCGATTAGACATCAATTATCGGATGCAGGTTTATTCATCTGACGAGTCCCAAATAGGACGAAACGTGGGTCATGGATTCCACTGCTAGCCACTATCCATCTTTGTTTATAATTTGATATAGATTTTACTAAATTGCCACAAACCTATAACATTAGTGTTGTTAACTACTGATCAACTAATTAAAATACAATCAATAAAGATGTCAATCACAATTTCTTAATAAACAAAATCTTAAGAACTTGTAATCATCTATTCCATTTTTTTGTGTGCGCTTTGGTTATTTGCAGCAAAATTATAAAAACTAATTACTTTTATTTTATACACTGTCAGTTTTTACTTTATCTCATTTGTTTAAATCACATAACTGTACTTCACAGATAATGTGACTTTGACAGAGGATATGGGAGATTAAATTATTTACGAACAATCGACTGACATAATTATTTTTCAAGTTACTATATGTTAAATTAATTTTACAAAATAGTAGATGCTTTTATGCTAATCAAAATAAATGTTGGATCACAAATTAGTAATAATAAAATTATATATTACCCTAATCAAAATATTTCGTGTTTTTAGAATAGGGGTTTTTGGAGATTGTAGTAATTTGAATGGTTGAAGTCCCACGTGCGAGATCATGGATGCGCACTGCTGAAAAGTTCTATACTAGAACGAAACCGCCGTCCAGAGCTTCCACGTTTCCAATGGTTATCTATCTTAGATCGACTCATAAATTCAACTTTTAAAATATTTCGTATTTAACAAGTTTCCGTTACAAAACGTGACTCTACACTTTGTGTTACCTAAAACCTGATACAGACTTTGCAAATCTACTTAAATGCTACAGAGTCACAAAGAATTTAATCTCGCAACAATAGATACTTGTTAACCGAATAATATTATTTTATTTCCCTCTTATTCTATGGACAGAACAGTTTAATTACAAAGTTTTCCAATACACTGTCAACAACGTCAGAAGCGCGTTTTGATTATTTCATAAAATTTAAATTAGCCTATCATCATGATCGTAAATCTTAACTCTAACCCATAAACAAAACATGAAACAAAGTCACTAAACTCTGTAATAAAATTAGATTTTGATTATCACCTCAATCCATGACTTTCATTTCATCCTATTTGAAACAAATCAGCCGGATACCCTCATGAAATTTGGCTTCTATCTTCACACTGAAACTTAAATCAAGTACTTATCTCTTTGAAAATCAAAGCGTTACCCATTCATTTTATGTGTCAAGGCAGCCTCTACATCCTTTAACGGATATGAACTTATATATAAAAACATAAGCTTTTGAATATTGTTACTATTGATGGTAAGAACTACATCTGTTCAGTTCCCATTTCCATACTTTTACCTTTAGCTGACAGTGGCTATCTGAACCCAGTAGTTCGGTAAATAAATTGGCCTACCAAAGAATATGTACTTGGTTTATTTCCCAGTGTGAATATTGATACTTAAATGCAAGTATACTCAGCTGTCGAGAACCGAATAGCACGAAATGGTTTTAGTAAATGTCAGTATAAACCTTTATGCAGCTTTACTCGAACTTACAACTAGAGACATCATCGGGATATTACGCTTATGATGTACATATACCATTAGAGTTTAATTAAATATAGTCTTCAGTATTAAGAACGGGAAAGCTCAACCTCTTGCATATTTATAGAATTATTTGTAGATATATAGCTTAACTTTATGTTCTAAAACAAAACTTAGCAATAACAAATCTTCAAATTTCTGAGGTGTTTATTATGCTCAAAATTAGGCAATTGAAATAATTAATAATGTGTATGAAACAAAATTATCAGGAGCCGGATACATTATTGTCACATCTGATCAAATCAATAATGATATATAACAATGGATTCTCAAAACATTCATAAAATTCATATTATTTCCTTTTATAAGCCATGAATTTAGTTCAATGAAATAATTATATGGTGTTTTGATGATACCATCTAACTGTAAAATACTTTTAGTGATGAAAATTAATTGATTGATCTCCATGAAATTTAAAGTTGTTACGGTATGTAAATAATAACTTAAATCAAACCTAATATGTATGGAATTAGAGATTGATCAGTTGTTAATGGTGCAGAATGTTTTTTCCATAATGTAAAACCCAAATAATTAATAACAACTATTCATTATATTGTATTCCAAACATTTGCTGAAAAAAAGTTGAATAGTTGGGAAGTAATTTTCCTCTTTTCAAATAAGATCATTAGACTATAATGTTCTTTGATAATAGTAATAGAATAAACACTACAGATCTCATAAATGAACTCACATTGATAATCTGTTGATTATTGTTAATAGTTAGCTGTTAATCAAAGAGCACATCAAAATGTTAGTTTCACAAAATAAGAAATGTGACTATCTATTTCATTTAGTACATATAAATATGAACATTGTAAATAATTTACATCAGAAACTATTGTCAGTCAGTGAAATTGTTGATTGGTACAATTTTGACATTACAATCTGATAACCACCTTTAATCAAAAGACAGCTTTCTAACTTTCAATGATTCATTAATTTATGCTTATCTGTGATGACGACTAACCGAGAAATGAACAATCGCCAAAATTTTTTGATTTGTTAGCCAACTGATTCTTTTTCAATTATCCTAAGTTTGTTAATAATCATGTAGGTTTAACTGATGTAAGAATATACAACTTTTAAAGTTCAAGCAATCACTAGTATCAGAAGGCGTTTTGTGGATATTTTGTAGTTTTAATAGTTGGATCATCAGTCAGTTGAAGCTAGACCACCATGGAAAATCTAAAAGCACAATAGGACGAAACGGCCGTCCAGTGTTTTTAGGTTCTTCATGATGATCTAGCTTCAATTGACTCATGATCTTAACTTATAAAATTACTAGTATAATTATAAATCAATTATAAATCTTGGGACATTGATTTCGGTTTAATTATTAATTTCAATTTGATCAAGAACCATTCACTTGCGTAACTCTCCTACTATTTAGTTTAATGTCACTTTCTTTATTATTTTAGACTCAAACATTGAGAAAATATGATTCGATTTTCATCAAATGGTTTGATGAGATTATATTTCACTCATCAAATATAAGTTATCAAATTCAGAATTGGTTTACTACTGAGAAGACTATCTTGAGTCAACCAATCAAACTGAATCATGCAAAACACCTATGGAAATCAAAAAATGAGCAACCATTATTAAGTGGATTCTATATTGAGTGGAAAACAAATGTTATTTCTTATATGAATTCCTATATGAATAGTGTGTACAGTTTGAATCCATATCAGTTTTCATTATTCATAAATCACAAGTAAGACCACATTCTCAAATTAACTTTGTTAGTTGTATACCTTTCTCCTCACAGACGTTTCATAAGGTTTGTTTAAACTAAATTCATGTCCTTCGCAATTAATGTAATGGAGAACAAACTCAACTTTACCTTAGCGTTGCATAAATTCAGTCGTTTTGATCAAGCATGTATAGTATAACAAAAGAGGTACCTGTGTTTGTTTAGATTTTCCTATATCTTCGGAAAACACTATTACTGTGAAACACTACCGTGAAAATAGTTCTTGTATAGATAAATTTTGATGACAATTTTCATCACATATTCTTACTCAGTATTTTGAAAAATTGATATGTCAAGTTTAAAGCGATTAATAAATCATTAATTCCTTTCAAAACATCCTTTGAATATAAATGGAGAAACGCCGACTAGACACGGCGAAACTATAATTTATGGACGGACCAATCAGATTTACGATGACAAGTCTTAGATTTTGGAGCGAAATTCATTCACTCATTTGGCTAAATAGAGTCTTGGTATTATAGCTGATATCATTTCGTGATGAAAACTTTAAATCTAATTCCTAACCCTAACCATAAGCTGTAAATCATAATCCTTATTCTTCAAACTTTTTTTATAACTTCTTTATAAGTAGGTAGGCACCCTCAAGGTCACTTAGTGTCGCCCATAAATTCTAGTCTCACTCTAGACACTAACAAACACAATACAATATTTCAGTATTATGACCAAGTAAATACATTAGTAATTGTTACATAATAAAACAAAACAGAAGTATTGAACATTGTAGTATTTTTTACTAAATATTACATTTTACGTAATATATAATTGAATTATGGGATTTCCTTAATACAAAGTAGCATAGAAATAAGTTTATAAAATACAAATTAGTTAACTGTACCTAGATTATTTTAAATCTAACAATCTTGGCATAAAAAGAACTCGATATCACTAATTAAATGTGTTGAAACTTATTATTGTATAGATTATCCTATTCTACTGGAGATTCTCTAATTATCGAAGATTAAAACTTTGGAAAACTATTTGTTAAGTATAAAGATTGTGAAACAGAATGTCGAATTATTGTAATCAGATACCTAAAAAATTTCTCATGAAATTATTTTTACAAATGAGACAATTACGAGAATTTTCCTCAAACATTAAGAATGGATTGTAAGAACATTAGACCAATAATATTTTCAGAAGTAGGGTTTCGCGGAGATTCTGGTAATTTAATAGTTAAATTCATGAGTCTAATATAGCTAGATCACCATGGAAAACCTGGAAACACTGGACGGCCATTTCGTCCCAGTATGGGGCTCCTCAGCAGTTCCCATTCACGATCCTGCATCGCAGAATTCGAACCCAGGACCTGTCGGTCTAGCGTGCGATTGCTCAACCTCTCGACCACTGAATAGGCATCCACCGGTATTAATGTCTAACTTCAAAAAGCATTCACGATCCCGCATACGAAACTCAAACCCAGAACCTTTGGTCTGGCATGTGAACGCATATGAAATGTATCAGAATTCGATTTGTATTCCGTAATGATAATATTTAAGAAATTTTTATCTGATATTTCAGTAGGCAAAAACGGAATATAAGTGGTTGGAATTATTTAATGCAAGTCACTAACCTGATAATGTTATTAGTGTACAACTTAGATCTATATGTTATTTATCAAATGCTCATGCATAAAGGTCACTAAAATCTCCCAGCCTTTCCTCTGTTCAATATTTCGACGATTTCTTATATGAGCGAAATTACGTCATTTTGTTTGACAGCTAACTGGTGTTTATGTAGACGTAGTATAGGAGGCGAGCCATTTTTTCGTATTCAGTATTTGTCACAGTTGTTACAGTTCATCTCCTAGATCATCTTTGGTTTGTTTTTGTTTTTCGTCGTGCTATTCGGTTTTACATAAAATTGTTCACAACGACTTTGATGGCTGATGGGCTACATTTATTCCTAGTGGTCTTATTAATCCGTTGGTGATCTGGAACATGTTTTGTCATGATGGGTGGAACTAATAATTTGTTGATCTCTACTGTTTATTTTATATCTAATCATCCGTTGAATAAGCATTTTTTTGATGAAATTTTGCGGGTAACCATTTTTGGAGCTTTATTCATTGTATATTTTCTATCATTTCTTTTTGCCACAGTAATGCAGCAATGCGTTTTTACTTTTGAATCTATATGGCTTACTTTGTGAGCCACCGGGTTTTAGTGTAATAATTGAGAATTTGATCAGAGTAGGTTGGTATCAGATTAACTTGAGTCTCCGCATTTTCTCTGCTGGTTCTGGTGATCGGTTTGTGAAAAAACGATAATTTAGTGTCTGAATCTACTTCTTGTAGTGTCCATTGCCATGTCAAGCTCACATAGCCTATTCTAGCTTTTGAGCTTGTTAATTATTCGTTTATCAGTCATGCATTTCTTATCTTACTCATCCCATGTCTGTAACTTATTTTTGTGTGACTATAAATAATGATTCACGCTTGGCTAAATTAAGTTGGCTTACTTGCCTTCTCCATCGCGCGTGATGTCGCTTCGCTTTCTTTTCTTCACTTCATATGCTTTGTTCCTCTGATTGTGTGCCCAGATCACTGAGTGTATAAAAGATGTGTATTCCAAAGTCTATTGTAGTATTTGACTTATTTAATTGCGTTAAGTCTATAATTTAATACGATGATTTATTATATTTATATTTCAATAACAATCATTTTTACGATCCAGAGTCAGATTAAGAACCACTAAAATCTAATGCAAATTTTATACCACCAAAAATACTTTATCAAGCTCTGAGTGTTTTCCAACTGATTCTTGTTGTTGTTGTTGTCGTTGTTGATGATGATGATGTATATGTTGTCTACATGAAGTATCCTTCGACAGAATCATGAAGACTTCAACATCTGAAGGTAAGCACGGGATACAGTGGACAGCTAGGATGCAGCAGGACGATCTGAACTTCGCAAATGATCTGGCCGTCCTATCACAAACGCAACAACAAATGCAGGAGAAGACGGCCAGTGTAGCAGCAGCCTGAGCAGCAGTAGGTCTCAATATACACAAAGGGAAAAGCAAGATTCTTTGATACAACACAGCATGCACCAATCGAATCACACTTGATGGAAAAGATTTGGAAGATGTAAAAAGCTTTACATATTTGGGCATCATCACAGTTTAAGGGATTAGAATTATGATTAACAGTTGATGATTAAAGTTAGAAATTAGATTTAAAGTTTTCATCACGAACTGATATCAGCTATAATGCTAAAACTCTATTTATCCAAATGGATGAGTGAATTTCACGCCAATATTGGAGATCTGTTATCTTATACCTGATTAATTCATCCATAAATTATAGTCTCGACCATTCGGCATATCAACAAATTCATTAAATACAAAATTTAATAACTGAAAATAATTTAAAAAAAACTGTACACAATATTAAATTTAATTGTCAAGTACTAATTATTATGGTTTATAGTGTTTGTTACCACGTGGTTATTGTGAAATGTTCAATACACAAGTAAATAATAAAATATATATTTTATCATTTTATTCCTTTATTTAATTAAAATCAGTTAAAATGTTTATCATATTCTCGAGGCTTAAATACTTTACAGTTGTCTATTTAATATTAATCAAATTAATTCATCAATACACCTAGTGTATATTTATATTTGTATCCTATTACATTTCAATGCCTACTGTAAATATTCTATGCTTAATAAGATTAAAACATTGATAACAAATATATTTGATCAAATGTACATAACATGTTTAATTACTAAGTAAAATAGTGAAAAAAAATCGAATGTAATTGGACAACAATTATATTGAAGGTAACATAGTAAAATAGGTTACTCAAATATTGAAAGAAAAACAAAAGCAACAAAGATAAACACATTCAGTGATAAAACATTTAATTCATATGATATACTAGTCTGCTACAAACATGTCTCTGGAACATGATTAATGATGCTTGATATAAGTTTATAAGCATAGATGGATAGTGGCTACCTGTGGAATCGATGGCGCATATTTCGTCCTATTTGTGACTCATCAGATTAATATGCCTGAATATACGAGTTGATGTTCACTCTGCCACTCTAAATCAGTACCATTTGCTTCAAATATCATCGCGTTGTCTACTTATTCACTGAGTCCATACAACCACTAGCTCGTGCATCAGTGTGAAGTTTAATTCACATTGTACTGGTTGCTTCAATCTTGTCATTGACGTTTAGGAATTTAACTGATTAGTCTCTTATTCGTATATGTGCATTCTTTTCGGATCGCCTCAATATTGCCTTACGTTACAAGCATCCATCTATGGTTATATTGCTTTTGACTTAAGGCAATATCGAGGCAATCAACACAAGATGTATATATCTCAATAAAGAAGCAATCAAATGCATTCCTAATCGTCATTGAAAAATTCGAACAATCAATACGAAACGAATTATCAGTATAGGGTTGTGGAGATTGAGATCATGAAACGACTGATTTAAGATCACCACTGAAAACCTAGAAGCACTGAAAGGCTGCTTCGTCCTATTGTGGGACTCCTCAGCAGTGCACGTCCATGATCCCGCTAGCGGTATTAGTAACATCAATTAATATAGATGCTAGAATTGAAATGTAATCAACAATCTAGTCAATCAAAAACATAATAACTTCCACAATCTCATACTGATAATTATCATGTGCTCACTAATATCTAGCTTCGTAAGGAAATTCTCGGAGTTCTAATGAGAAGCCGTGAATAGTGGAGCTAATCCGTGTCGGGTAGAGACACGTGTCTACCTCAGTACAATGAAAGATGGTCGCATAACTTCGTGGATTGGTTGAGGTTAGACATTAACACCATTGGATGCCGACTCAGTGGTCTAGAGTTTAAGCATTTGCGCGCGACACTGAAAACCCTGTGTTCGAGTCATGAGAGCGGGATCGTGGATGCGCACTGCTGAGGAGTCTCACACTAGGGTGAAACAGTCGTCCAGTGCTTCTAGGTTTTCAATAGTGGTCTGACATCAATCGATTCATGATCTAACTATTAACAGTTTTATTCTAAATCACCTCTGTTATTGATGAAGAAAAGTCAACTTATAATTTGATTCGTTTTCAAATGTATCATTTGACAAACTAGTTTCTATGAAGACAAATTCATTTACTTTTCAACTTACTGGTTAAAATTGGAAAAATGTACTTTAGAAATTCATTCTAAATATAGAATAATGTATCTTAGCAACATTTATTTATTTGATATACATACGTTTATCATTTTATAGATCAAAATTTTATACTTCTCAAACAGTACAACTTATGAGTGGATCCTATGAAATTTTTGGTTATCAATCGGATAAACAAATTGATTGGAATTTTCATTTAAATAATAGTTTTAAACTTGCCACTGTTTCTAATTTGTCAATGGAAATATTATTTGATCCATGGAGTTATAATTATGAATTATTTAAATACATGTAAGTTTATAATTAAATAATTCACTACTGTTTTATCAGAAATATGATTATCCGAATTGTACGATATGGATTTTATCAGTTATCATATATCGAACTAATGAATATTCTTGTGGATCTTTACTAATTCAGGTGTTTGCAAAATGTTCCATACTTTCTTAACATATAATATTAACTTGCATAGAACTAGGTCGTAAGAATGCTGAGAGTGATTAATTTAAGATTGTAGTATCGGTTATTATGTTAAGCCTATACACCTTATACTAGCTTTCAGACAGGTCGATCTATTCATTCTACTCGAGTCATATTTTGACCGTGTTAATTATTCGCTTATCATTCTTGATTGTTTTTATATGAGCCGTATATGTATGTACATCTTATCGTACTTACCGCATGTCTGTAGCTTAATTGTTTGTGACTATAAACGTTGATTACCACTTGACTAAATACAGTTGGCCCACATGTCTTCTCCACTGTGCGTCTTTTCGCTCTCTCTTCTTCCTTTTCATTCGCTACGTCTCTCTGATTATCTGTTCCGATCAACAATTGTATAAAATATATGTATTGGGAAATCTATTCTCGTATTTGACTCATTTAATTCCGTTATTCACTAATGTAGATTAAGTCGATAATTATACACCAGGAACGACCACATGTATATATTCGATAGTAATCAGAAATGATCAAACTGAAGTCAGATACATGTGCCACCAAATGACAACATATTAGATATTTATTGTTTACTTGACATGTGTCGAAAAGTTAAGTCTTCCTATTTTGTACCTCAATTGAATATCTCATTGAATAAGCAATTGGCAAATATTGCTTTTTATAACGTAAACAACAAAGCAGAAATTACACTTTCTATGAATCTTCCTTTTACTATAGTTTCTATTTAATGAAATAGAAAACAGATATGATGTATATTACACTTCAACATTAGGATATTTATTTTCTAAAATGCAATCAAGTAAATCCATAATAATTAGACATGCATATAAAAGAAAGTCTCCTTTTTCAATGTTCCCATCTTAAATATTACCACTTTTTTTCAATATTCAAATAAATTTTGTAGAAAAACTGATTTTTTCATGAAAAATGGTAAACCATTTATCAATTCTCAATCATCAATATTAAATCATTCAATAGAAACAACGATTTATCCTTTTAATTGGTTACATTTAAATATTGAAAGATTCTGTAATTCTGAAGACAAATACTTATCGATCCAATGGTTTCAAATCAACATCATTGAAATTAAAGGATTTTTATTTCAATTTAATTATTTATCTACTAGTCATGAAGAAACGAAAAACAATCTAACTAACACTAATCACTTTTTTATTCATCGATTAAATGTATCTATGCAACAGAATCATAATTTACAAAATAATATTTTCCAATTCAATATTAAGATAAAATATCAGAATAATAATTTACAATATGTTGATTTAAATTGTTTAGTATTTCACAAAGATTCATACCATTTACAAAGTAAGTTCACACAATTTTATTTGTATACATTTACTCCTCCTCCACCACCACCACCACTCCCCCACACTTTTCTACATTTATGATTAAAAATGAATGAACAATTAATAGTGGATTAATTGTTTGAGTATTAAAGTGTTAACAAGGTATAAGTATCATCTAAGATAGATTATAAAATATTCGATTAATGAAATGGTGGTAGTGGTGGTGCAAAAAACACTACAAAGTGGATGCCTTCTTCATCTTCGCCTAAACAAACATCAATTAATAGTTGAGCGCTTTGATATATCCTCGTTTATATCAATACATTTAGATCAACTACAGACATACATTCGACTGGGAAAATCTTGTGGGTTAGCATAGAAGCTTGACACCTAAATAAATCAACAATCAACAAAAACACATTGAAATCGATCAAAACTATCAACCAATCAGAAAAGTGATGGACAAATATAGAACCAGAAATCAAATCAATGAGAGATACAATTAAAATGAAGAAGTAGACAATGATAAGTTAAAGTTCAACAATAACCAATCAACATAAATGTCTACAGGACAAGCTGTGAGTTATATGTGGAAGAATTCGAACATTTCACTTGTACTTGAAGTTCGTGATGTTGGTGTTGTTCAGAGGAACGATGAAAGTTCCACGACTAAACCATCCAGCGCAGAGAACAATATTTCACCAGAAAGTCGACCAACGAATTAAGGAAATGAACAAAAATAATCGTTAAAAATTTCGTATTATATTAAAAAATATGTAAACGAAGAATAATCCTTTCAATAAGCTCTGTTTAAGGCAAAATACATTGTTTAAAAACTACAGCACGTGGGTTTAAAAATACAAGGTACGATTAACATGAAGTAAGTGAGATCGCATAGTAGAAATCATGTAATACGTAGAATAATGTGAATTAGGGACGAATTAGTAAAAAGGGGTGGATGCTGAGTGAGTTTATCAAAGCGTTTGCAAATGTTATAATTATAATAATAGTGACGATAACAATAATGATAGAATGTGCTATCAAGATGAGTTTGAGCTATGAAAATACAAAGAGGAAGATTGTATTATAGATAATCGAATCACATCACCATATCATCAGAAGTCGGCCGAGGTAAAAAGAGAGGTTAGATATGTTGATTTGTTGACGCAAAGCTTCACTTTTTCTTGTCCGAATAGCTATTACTTCAACTGTCTGAAGGATTATTAATCAGACGGCTTTGGGCGAATTATATATATTATTGTAAATCATTGCTCCATGTTGCCTGTATACTCTGTTTGTAATAAATGAGCTAAAAATCGAGCTGCTGTCAGTTTTAACTATATCTTTGCTTAACCACACTATGAGATTAAACAAAGGTGTAATTCACTTTTGGTTATCTGTATAGAATTCTGAAGTTTGTGCTGATGATGTCGTTCAGAAGAACGATGAAAGCTCCACGACCAAACCATCCAGCTCAGAGAACAAAACTCCATCAAAAATAACTAAATACACTAATTATAATTACAAGTTAAACTGTTGATAGTAAAAAAATCAATAATAATGAAAATTATTGAAAAACGAAATGTTTGTTTTTTCTCTCTCAGAAAATATCACATTACAATGTTTATATTTAAAAGAAACCCCTCTTTAATTAAAACATAACTTTAATTCAATCATACAGTGTGAAAATAGACAAATTCATCATGAATATTATTATATAACATTTTGTTTGTTAGTTCAACAACAAAACTTTATTGTTACTAACGGCTTTGTGTGATACGTAAGTACAATAAAGAGATGATATCCCACGACTGATCATTGACTAAATATGGATCCATAAGTGTTCAATGTCAATTACAGTAAACGAACTCAGTTTAAATGAGACTGCACTTTTAATTAGAAAGCTAAATGTCTGGAAAAAAAAACTAATCAGAATAAGTTTCTTTCTACAAGAATAGAAAATTAAATGAGATAAAAAGTAAATGGAAAACAAAAAAAATAAGAAAATGAGACAAGTACACCACATTATCCAGGATATGACGAAAAAATCTATTTGATATTTGGTATAAATAAATATGTCTGGAACAAAATATGTTTAAGAGTGTCAAATGGTTCCATCACAAATGAGAAAATGTTTGATAAAAACGAGAACGATAGGGTCTGGGTTTGAATCTTGCATGACGGGATCATGGATGCGCACTTCTGAGGAGAACCCCAATAGGTCGGACAGTGCCTCCAGGTTTTCGATACTGATCTAGCTTCAATTAACTCTTGAATTCAACTATAAAATTAAATGAATTCTACAAACGTTTCATGTTTATGATGTACAAATTTGCTAAAATGTTATAATTTTATTTTTGGCATAATTTAAGTTACACTTGTTACTACACATGGAGAAGTATAGACTGCTCACTAGCATTCTCTGTCTAACTCTGTTCTGATCAATCCTTTCCAGTTTCTATTCATCCTATCTATGTCTGCTTCCAGTTCTCGGAGCAGCATGTTCTTTGGCCCTCTTTTTTTCGTTTACATTCAGGATTCCAAATTAGCACTTATCTCATGATGCAGTTTGATGATTTCTTAAATATGTATCCTATCCACTTCCAACGTCTTTTCTTAATTTTCCCTCTCATCCAGAAGCTAAATATCACCTAGTCTAAAGATTTAGTGAATGAATCTTAAAACATATATATGAAGATCACCATTCTTACAATTATTGAAAAGTACTGTAATATTATGTTACAAAATGTTACAAGAAAATTTATTATTTATGCTTCAATTTAATCTCTGAGTTGTGCCTTACTTAAAATAAGCATAAAAAGTATAATTTAGCTTTGGTTTTCAAAAAACCTACATCGTCAATTGTTATGTACGTCTTGCTTATTACCTATACCTGAAAATGAGTTACTACTGCGGTGAACAAGAACACAAGTGGGGACAACTGAATGCATTTATTTTGAAATTACAGAGCATCTCAATGAAATCTGAGAACCATGTAGTAAATACTTAATTTGCAAAATATCAATCCATAATCTCTAACTTTACTGTTCCTTTTGCAAATAACAATCTGTTGTCTCGGATTTCATTATTCATGCGTTTTCATACTAATGGCTTTCCGTTTTCGTTCTTTCCTTATCGATCTTCCAGTGAAATACAACCTATGCTACTCATATGGATATAAGTAACACACACCACACTACTACAATCCAGAAAACACAAAGACCCTTATTAAAAATTCACTTATTTTATATTGCTTTTTGATTTCTTCATTAACAATTAGGATAAAATCGCATATATAAAAAGTGCCCAGAATTATAACCAATCACATTCTACGTGTCATGTTAAGCATAGCTTATGTTCATTTAATTCAATGAAATACCGCATTCAAATAAATTAATCTCATACCAAATAAAATATCCCAACTGGAAAGCAAATACTACATAAGCATACTGAATCTTTTTTTTAAAAAACGAAGGAAATAATGCTGAACAAAATCAACCCGATCCTATTAATTTATTTAATCAGTATGTTTAGTTAAACGTAGGTAATTTTAGATTTTCGTTTCTTTTTCTTTTCTATTTTTAATTGTAATTTATTATTTCGTATTTATATTCTACTCATTATCGTCATCATCATCATCATCATCATCAGTAGCAGCAGCATCAACAACAACAGTAACAAAAAAAACAACTTTACACATTTGAATGAAAACACTTTTTTTAATGCAAGAAATACAATTTCTCAAGTACAAATTATACATAGAATAACATGAATGGAATATTTTGTTATTTTCGTTTTTTTTAAAAAATGAATGTAACTATAATTAGAACCAATTCTTTCTTCTTTTTATTTCTTTTTTCTTTTAACATTCATGAAATGCGATCAAAATGTGGTAATGTCAGACGAAAAAGAAGAAGAAACTAGCTCTAGTCAATACGGTTTATTTATAAACGCATTTTATATTCATAACTTGTGAAATTTACTTCCAAGATGATATATGTTAATTCATTATTATTATTATTATTATTATTATTATTATTATTATTATTATTATTTCTGATTGTGGAATTTATTCCAAAATTTTAAAATAACATTATTGGGTTTTCTTGTACTAAACATTATTTTTTTGTATTGTCTGCATACATTATGGTTATAATGTTGAATATTATTTTAGAACTCCTGTGGTTTATTTTTACCTTTATACCTTTGTTTTTTTTTCTATTTTACATATGCTTGATCTTTTCTAAATTGTTCTATTATTTTGACTAAACTTTTTGTACAACATAAACTAACATTCCAATTTATTCTTTTGATGTTATGTTTTGAAGAATATTGTAGTGAACGAGAACACCAATGGGGACAATCAAATGTACCTGAATATAAAACTTACAGAACATCTTAATAAAATCTGAGAACTATACAGTAAATAATTCATTTGTAAAATGTCAACCAATTGTCTAAGACTTCATTATTCTTTTGTTACCACACCAATCACTCTCTGTTCTCTTTCTCTTTTCTTCGATCTTCTTAATCTTCTGCTGCTAGACATTTCACTTTCGATTGATGATATATAATACTTATATCTGTCGACATCAGTAACACATACAACAATATATTTCCAAAAAATATTCGTATGATATTAGACAAAATTGTTTTTTACTTCGCTAGAAAGTTTTAAATAAAATTATGGTAAAAATCATGACGTACCTATCATGAAAGTGGATAAAAATGTTTGTAAACGTTTATTTATATGATATAATTTCGAATGTTTATATATTTTGATGAAGTTTTGTTCTCTGAGCTGCATTCATTGGTCATGGAACTTTTATCGTTCTTCTGAACGACATCATCAACACAAACTTCAGATAGAAGCGAAGCGTTCGAATTTATTTGGTTTTATTTCCCATACAACTAAAACAAAGAAGTAAACAATGACAAGTTTAAGGTCAACAAGAACCAATCAACATCGAGGTCTAAAGGACAATCTGTGAACCACATATAGAGAAATTCGAACACTTCACTTCTATCTGAAGTTTGTGAAGATGATGTCGTTCATGGGAAGGATGAAGGCTCCACAAACAAATCATCCATCTCAGAGAACAAAACTCCATCAAAATCATCCACCTGAGCTACAAATCTTCCCCACCATCTCAACGTTTATATATATATATATATATATATATATATATATATATATGAAGCAGAAGATAGGCAATCAGACACATGTAAGTTCATTTGACAATAAGCTTGTAAATCAAGATAATATCGAGGCAATATGCACAGCATGCATATATACCAATAACAGACTGATCAATCGCAGTCTTAAACCTCAACGGGAAGATTCAGACAAACAATATCAAGTGAACAAGCTAAATCGTCTCATTAATTTATAACTGTATTGAATTTCATTAAATATACTTTCATGTAATATCAATTTGTGTACTTGAGTTACTATTAGTTATCAACTTTACTTACGGGAAACATGTTTTACTATTTTATAAAAGTTTAATCTTGCAATTCTCACAATCTTATACTATCTTGTAGTTGACATTACTCAAGACGGTTTAATACAAGCGATAGGCTACTTTAATGAACAAAGAATGATCAAAGCAAATGGAAGTTTAGAGGTTCAAGGAAACGATACAAATGCAAGGATACAGCTTCATAATCCTTCCATATTTTTAAATGTTAGTTTTAAAAAATACCACAATTCTCTTCTCGTTGTACGAGCAATTAGTCAAGCTGATCATTACCCATTCCAATTCAGTTGTAAGTAAAATTTGCTAAACTATTATTATTATATATTGATGGGTGTGTTATATGAGAGAATTATTCATCCGGATTTAGTCATAGTTATAATATATGTAACAATCTCCTTTTTAGGTTTGATTTGAACCATTCACATATTTTGAAGTTAGCAATTATTATTTCATATCAACTACCAGGTAATTTAATGTATTATGTAATTCGAACTATGTAAGTTAAAACCGATTTCATCAAAATACCCAATCACTTTAACTAATGTTTATATTACTTTAATCAAAGAATTCAATCAAAACTAATAACAAAACAATCAATTATGGATTATTATCAAATGAATGATCAACCTAATTATAAACTGAAATGATCTTCTAATTTATTCATACTGGTTTATATAACTTTAATAACTGAGACAAACGTTATTTAATCAAATTATAAACTGATAATAATATAAAAAAGGGCTAAGATTCTGTTTATTGTAGTGATTACATATATATACTATATATGCTTTCTGAACAAGATATTCTTACAATGTTTAATTCTGTATAATGGCTCTATACTCTGTATATCGTTTACATTATTATATAATTTGTCTGGAATTGACAGATAATATAAACACAATTAGAATAACATCTAAAACCGAATTCACTTTTTGCTTCTTCTTAGGAAACAAACAAAACTTAAGTGAATATAACGATGTATAATGTTTAATACAAATGTTTACAATTTATACTACTAATACTAAGTGTTTCCTCTAAATGATATTTTTATATGTTTTTACTATTATTCTGGACGGTAATTTCTCTAAAAACAAAAATGCGAAACAAAACAGTAATTAAAGTATCAGTCTTGTCTATAGAACACGTTTTTTTCCAAAAAAACAACTGTTATGTTGAAACATCCGTAAAAGTCGGCTTAAAGAACTTACAATTAGTATTTCTTATTACATTTTTTAGATGAAAGACTATTCTTCATCATTCAATGATGAGTTGATTTGAAAGTGGATTTTATCTTTGACTTACTAAAGTAAACTAATAAATAATAATGCACCAAATAGAAAGAAACAAACCTTTCTCTATGTGAAAAAACACACACATTTTTTGTAAGTAAACAATACATTTTGTATGTAAGTACATTTAACCAAAAGAAGTACTATTTCAATAAAATGGTTTAAAAATAAAAAAAACATACACACACACAATAAAGTGCTAGCTAATTGAAAATATTTTAATCATTGATAAGAAACGATTGCACAATTGTTTCTAAGCTCATTTTTTCCATTTCTGACTAAAAAATTTTGAAAAGTAGATATTAAATAACCATTTTACCTTATCTTCAAATGGTATTTTTATCATTATTTGTTTATGAGATCATAGTGATTCTGATCTACAATTTTAAAGAGTAAAGTAAGCTTGATATGTTCAAACTAATAAGTGAAATTATCTTTGGTTCATATGTATGTACATAGACTAAAGACAATATGTAACATATTTTACATATTATCTGATTCTTAGTAGTATATCAGTTGTTGTTCGTTAACTTTTATTCTACCAATAACATATGGTGTCTAGCCAAAATGCACTTTTATGAAACTCAGAAATTATGTTTAAACAATTTGGTCGATATCATATTGGGAATTATCGAGAAGAACCTCATATAAATGAATACTCGAGGAAAAAACTGTCCCTTAATTGAGAATATATTTCAGGAAGATATGATGAGAAAATCATAATGGTATTGAAAAAATCTTCATTATGGCTCAATTAGTTTCTCTATGCGACAATAAATGTTCATTATGTTGCTCAGAAATAGCACGCTTCCAGTTGCATTTTATAAATTTAAACGTGACTACATTAGGTGTACGAGAAGGGTAGGGTAGAGAGTTTCTAACATGTTATCCAAACGTGCTTCCTGAAACTTGTGTGGAATAGCCAGGTACTTGATAAATGGTGGACATAATGTGGAAATATATGAAGCACTTAAAATAATTTAAAAATAAAACTTACATCACTTTTACTTCATTTTTGAGCGGCAACTGCAATCACGTTTTCCCGACTTGATATTTGTATACGGAAGGAAAGAATGTTATACCTTTCTTTGCTATGGTGATTACACTCGCAATCAGGTAATTCTTTGGTTTGCAAAAACTCGTATTGATACTCACATATCAACTTGATTTGGTTTCTAATTACGTCTAATAATTATGCAATCATATATTAATTTCATTTATACCATTTAGTTCACTTTTTCTACTTCATTATTATTATTAACTATAAAACCAGTTGTACTCAGTAAAATGATTTTTTTTCTAACATATAAACACGCATCAATCCTAACGACGTTCAACCACACACAATTTCTGCTCTTTTTCTAATAATTTTCTGTTTCATTGTAAGCAGAGATGGACGATGAATCGTAGGGGAACCTAGGAAGCGCATTTTGTCCTATTTTGAAACTGGTCAGCCAGATGTACCTGAACCCCAGAGCTGGTGTTCGTTCTGGGACTCAAACCCAGTATCGGCATCGTAAATGCACATTTCTGAGGAGTCTTATACTGGGACGAGACAGCTTTCCTGTGCTTTCTCATCTTTGTTGGTTCTTTATCAATAATTCGCTCTTTGTATTCCTCCAGACAATGAGTTAAAGTATCACTTCATATATTTTCTTTTGTTTTTTTCAAACTATATTCTCACTCTTTTGCTTATTTAGTATTACTACTAACAAATTAATTCAGTTCCCTTATTTATTTTGTTGACTTCATCTCCTTACAATAAAGTGATACGGCAACGTGACCCAACCAATATCTTTGCTAAGCTCTATGTTAATTAGAATCGATATATTACATAATTTTTTGTCTAAATGCAATAGTTTATGCACAAGATTAATGATCACACTTTCTTTGAAATTACATAACTTAGTGATTAAATGCTTATGTAACTATCTATTCGAGTTTCAGTTTGAAGCTGCTTGTTACTAATGTCTCTCGATGAGATTTCTTAAGATATAATTAGTGCATTTTACAAAACATGATGAGGAAACCTTTTTCAAATAAGGAAATTAATATAATTTTAATAGAGACGGAGATGGTATATACTTACATCAAAACACTGAGATGAGCATTTCAAAAATATCTAACCTAAATGATCTTAAACACAAACAAAAACGAAACACCTACAATTCACAGTACTATACAAAGATATTACAGTTAGGATGTTTTTTTAAAGATTAAGACGTGTATTTTGTCTATAGTTTAAATTACAAAATAAACCTGAATTGTCATAGTTAACTGTAATCCCAATAATTACCTGAAATAATCTGTTATATGATATATGGTTTGGAGAAGAGTTTCTATGAGCAAACCAAAATAATAATATGAAGTTAATAGATAATTAGTAGTAGATAGGCAGATTAGTAATTAATAGATACAGTACATCTTATATCAAAAGAGGTTATAATCATTCTCAATTTTCTTTTTTACCTCTAAATTAATTACAATATATTTCATATATTTCAATAAAGCTATCATTTAGATATATTGTCGTTATAAAATTATTATTACTGATGGTAGATTATATTCAAAAATCGAAATGTCCAAGATCTTTGATAGATCCTTAGTTGATTATTTAACAAGACCATGATTTATCAACCAACTAATCAGAAGAGAGCAGATCATGGATTTTGGCACGAAATTCATTCACTCATTTAGCCAAATATCATTTTGACATTATAACTAATGTCAGTTCTTGATGAAAATATTAAATCTAATTACTGAACCTAACATTCAACTACAAATCTTAATTCCTCGCGTTAATATATAACCCTCATTTAACCATAGTAAGTAGGTGGATATTCTAAAGTCATTTTATTGTTGCTCAAAGATTATCCATAAATTATAGTCTCACCCATTATTTAATATAAAACCTTTAATACTATAAATAAATGACTAAGGCAACAGAAAAATTACTGTATTTATTGAAAGTAAACTCTTTATTAGACATTTAGATGCAAAGCGACAAAAGACAAATTGGATACTTTTCACAACAATAAAAAGCTTATCACATTTTTCAATGCTCAACTTAAATATTGTGCATCTTTTTGAACGTTTCTCTTTTAATCGTCACGCTTATTAATGTGAGACTTTTCTAATTAAACTTTTCACTGGCCCTCTTATCTATGGATACCGTTTTCCTTGAGGTTCATATATATTCTGTAGATAAATGCAACTTCTTCTGATCGTCTTAAAGAAGCTTGAAACTATGACAGTATAATGAGTAATGTATAAGTACGTATATATTGTTTTTCTGAAGCGTCTAATTTTAGAGGAAAATGCATTTTCACTGGTTATTTGATTATTATGCCACAAAAGTTAATAAACAATACAACTGGATGTATTAATTTTTTTAGAACCCAAAGAGAGAATCCTTCCTCGTGACTGAAGACAAGAACAATAAATGAGTGCAAAGCTTGACGATAATTGACTTCACTACCTGCAATGAGAAAACTTAGTTCACTGTCATTTCGAGCCTATTGACTACATGTAAATCTCATCCTCAGAATCCATTCAGTACTGAAAGATCAAGTGTCCAACAGTCATCCCTATTCATTATTAAGTTAGTGTATCCGTCCAAATCCATGAGGAGGAGACCTGAAAATTGGGTGACCGTGATAGGATAAGGCTCGAATATTTTATGTAATGGCAGTTATGAGTTAATAATCATGTCCAAGATATGTTGATTACATGTTGTCATCTATCATTAGAGACCTGAGAAAAATAAAAGGAAAAACACATTGTTGATAAGCAAAAAACCAGTTTGATTTAAGACTACATAAAAATTTATAATTAATTGATCATTCTGTAGTGACCAACTTCATTTCTGTCTATTCCTTTGATAGTGATAGAATTCTGTCGATCAAGATTCATAGTGATCGGTAGTTCAAGTGGAATTATACAAAATTTACTATTCCAAAAGTAATCAAGCCACTTAAGATACTGACCACACTAAACTCCAATTGATACAATTCTGTCATCACTAAAGGACTGGATAAACATGACATTAACCAATATTCATTAATAAGTTACTTGTAAACAATCTCAGTACTGTGAAAGGAGACCATTCCTGTCTCAAACTCTTGAGCTTGGCCACGTGTCATTAAATACACCAGAGATTACCAATTCCTTCCAGATTACAAATACATTTGACCGAAAAATTTCAAACAACATAAAACCTAGGTCCGAATTTTCCTATCTTTTACGTATAACCACCCTACTATATAAAAATATTCACTGTAATAACTGTCCTATAAACTAATATTATAAATATTTCCTTGAAAATGCTTGGACCAGAATGCCAGATCAAACGTTGAATTTACTTCAAAATTCATTCGCTAAGATTTTACAAACACATTCTTCTTCTTTAATGTTCCACATTAACTCGGCGCCAAAATATTGTGAAACTATTCGATCAAATTTAAACGAAAATTCTTATTTAATATTATAAATATATATATATATATATATATATATATATATACTATTAATAATATTGTTTTTATAAAGGATCCCTAACAAAAATCTAATTCATTCTAATCATTAATTTTAATCCTTTAAAGAAAAAAATTAGATTACATTTTCCCTATTACTATTGAAATCAAGAAAATCAATTCATCACTGAAAGAAATCAACATTCAAGTTTTAAATGTTCCTCTTTTATTTTTTTATTTTTTCCAAAAGTTAATTAATCTGATGCTAATTAATGAAAATAATTCTTTCCATGATTAAGATCATGAGTCAATTGAAGCTAGACCACCATGGAAAACCTGGAAGCACTGGACGGCCGTTTCGTCCCGTTGTGGAACTCCTCAACAGTGCGCATCCACGACTTCGCCCCTGCGAGATTCGAACCCAAGACCTACTGGTTTCGCACTTAACCACAATAGGACGAAACGGCCGTCCAGTGCTTCTAGGTTTTTCATGGTGGTCTAGCTCCAATTAACTCATGATCTTAACCATTGAAATTACTATAATGTCAACAAAACCCATCTGATCTTAAGAATAATTATGTTTATTTCTATTTTCTTTTCTTAATTTTTTCTCAATAGTGATTAATTATGTAATCAATCAACAACATCTTAAAATGTTAACAGTCAATACATTTCAAACAGTATTGTCTTTGAATGTATCCAACTTTTTGAAAATATATTGGAGTATTAGTTTAAATTCTACAGGAGATAATAATTTACCTTCATATTATAGCAAAATGTTATTCAATATAACAATATTTCAACATTTCCTAATTTATCAAAGCTCAGTCTATTGGAATGAAACTTCAGTTAATAATACTAATGTGAATACAAATGAAAATGATAAAAATATAACAATGTAAGATTAATTTTAGTTTTAATTATGTATATCATTATTTATACCTAGTGTTATATATAGTATAACTATTTTTAAAAGATTAGTAATTGAACAAAGAATATTCTTAGGAGGGGTATTGTGGAGATTTTAGTAATTTCAATAGTGGAAATCATGAGTCGATTGAAGTCAGACCAACATGAAAAATCTGGATGCACTGGACGGCCGTTTCGTCCTAGCGTGAGACTCCTCGGCAGTGCGCATCCATGATCCCGACCCCTGCGATATTCGAATCCAGGACCTATCAGTCTCGCGCATGAGCGCCTAATAACTAGATCACTGAACCGGCATCCAACAGTGTTAATATCTAACTTCAACCAATACACGAAATTGCGCCACCGTACTCCATTGTCTTCAGTGAGCTGATATCTCACAACAGACCTGGTCGTTTTGTCTTGGCATCGGACTCCTAAGCAATGTGTATTCATACTAGGACGAAATGACGGTCCAGTGATCCCAGGTTCTCAACAATGATCTAAGATTGATCGATTCATAATCTCAATCAAAACCCAACATTCTCCACAACCCTATACTAATAATATAATATTTGTTGTATCTCAATCACCTAATAGAAAATGGATATATATTTTAATCTTTTAAAGGTCCCCATCATATTAAAAGACTAGTATTTGAACGAAGAATATTCTTTTCGATAAATTCTCTTCAGGTTCTACATTTATATATCCAAATTAATAATCCAAAAAATGGTCAGTTTAAGGGAAAAGTACATCTTTTAAAGTGTGTGAATTTAGGATTGTTAAACAAAATACAATCAAATTGTTAATGTTGATATGACTCAGAATGTTAACTTGAATCTGTGTATATGCTAAGTGAAATTTAAGATCCATGTTCAGAATAAATATGGGTCAGATAGGGTGAGAGATATAATAGTGCAATAACAATTCGGTCAGATGTTTAGTGGAAGGCTATATTGTGTGAAAAATTAGTAAAACTTAATAAGGAGGAATGAATGCGAGGTGAATGAATCATGTATAGGGGAGATTAATAATGATGTTTAACCAATAATAATAATACAAAGATTTGTGAATAAAGATGACAAGGACAATTACAATTACTAGTATAGGGATTGTGGAGATTATTAAGTTTTTGATTGAGATCATGAACCGATTGATGTTAGACCACAATTACAATTGACTACGAAAGGTCGTAGTCAAATTAGGTCATTCAATAGCTAAGATTACTATTAATTAACTAGCTTTGATGTTGGCCAGGGGGGGGAGGAGTGGTTGAAGATATTTCTTCTGTACATCACCCTAAAACTTCCCCAAAGTTTGCTACACTGGCTTCCCCAAAATGGGTCAAATTCTCCCCAAAATTGGGAGCTCGTGTATTTATTAGTTGTTATAATAGATTTAATTATAATTCGTCATTTATTGAATGAAGTATCTAAGAGAACTAATTGTTTATTAATTCATATAATCAAAATGTAAATTGAGTTTAATCACTGTTTGTTTATTTATTTTCTATTATTAAAATTAAATAAACATCTTAAAAACATCTTTAATATATTTTTAAAATGATTCCTATTACTCTTAATTATAAATTAGGAAATTAGACATTTTCAAATGAAAATACAACTAGCATTTTAACTATACACTTACAAGTATTACGTAAGCAGGTAAGGTTGTTAATCTAATGAAATCTTCAATGTTACCTCATAAAATATTTCACTATATTATAGAATCAGATTTATGACATAGTTTTTTAGTGGCCCTATATCTGACTCCAATTCGATCGTATGAATAATTGTTGTCAAAATACACATCCTAGCTATCCTCGTATATAATTATCGACTTAAATCACGTTAGTGAATAATGGAATTAAAATAAGTCAAATGCGAGAATGGATTTCGAATATGTATGTTTTGTACACTCATCTACCTGAACAGACATTCAGAGTTATGAAGCGAAGAGAAGAGATAGAAGCAAAATGATGTGCGGTGATGAAGGATTGTGAGCCACCTCGATTTAGTCAAGCGTTCATTAATAATTATAGCCAGATAAAAATAGGTTACAGAAATGTGATGAACAGGATGAAAGGTTTACACACATATACGCTCATATAAAAACAGTTAGGGTTGATAAATGAATAATTAACAAGGTCAAAACGTGACTCAAGAAGAATGGATAAATTGGCCTGACCAGAAGCTAGAATAAGGTATGTAAGCTTAACAGAGTAACCGACACTACAAGTTAATTGTCTAATCTAAATAATACATTTTAGAAAGTTTCAGTATTTTGTAAAAAATATATTTTTGTACTCAATATCGTTTGAAAATGAATATTGATCGTTAACCTCTTTATGAAGACTGGACAAATGAATTCAATTTAGGGGAGGTTTTCCCAAGTATAATTATAAATCAACTCAAGTAGGTTGGATTTGCTAGCACATCACCTATAAAAAGAGAAATAATTTATTTTCATCATGTTGCGGATAAAATGTCTATTTCATACTGGGACTATTGTTGAGTTTGAAAGGCTTTATGTGTTTCTAATATTTTAGATACGCTTAAAGATTCATTACTTTTCAAGATTTAGTTTGAATAAGTAAAAGCTTTAACCTCAGTCCAAACAACTGGGTTGATTCAGCCTTACAAGGCGTCCTGCTATGATTCCTCACTGAAGTGTTTCAAGAGTACTAGACCTTTGTAGCTAATGTTGAACGTTGATGTAATCCGTGACAATGATTTCACTTTCAATGCTTGTTTTATGTAACCAAGTTTGAATCTAAAAGATGTTAGTAATGCAAACTGATTTTAAATAACACAACTGTTAATTGAATGTATAGTACTTAATAAACACCTAACTAACGAAATATATTACAGAACGAAATTAGGTTTTAAAATAGCTTTTTACTGCTAAGATAAATTCGAAGTATGTGTAAGTTTCCTCTGTTTTTAAGTGCTCTGAACTCAAATACGAGTTTAGATACAAAGAAATATTTATTTCAGAATGAAATCAGAAATTACCAGATTAACACACAGATAGATAGATATTCAGAATCCACATACATCGATAGGAGTGAAGTGCCGTCATGGCATTTAGTAACCAAGCTTCTCAGCTTCACTTATGTTTACGTCATCCATATCTGTTGAGAAATTCAATATCTTCAGCTAAATTTCTTTCTCAGGCGAAAGATTTAATGAATTTATGCATTTTATCAGGTATCCTCTAAATACTCCACACACATACTCAGAATGAAAAACAATTTATTTAACAATATTTGTTATTTAATATCAGACGGGTTTTTGGGATATTATAGTAATTTCAGTGGTTAAGATCATGAGTCAGTTGAAGCTAGACCACCATGGAAAACCTGGATCTTAACCATTGAAATTATTATAATATCCACAAAACCCATCTGATATTAACCAACATATACTCACTAGTGACCGACTTCAAGAGGTATATCCTGGGGTTCTAGTGAGAAGTGGTAACCAGTAGAGTTTAACCAGGTCTGTTGTGAGATAGTAACTCACTGAAGACAGTAGTAGATGTGTCGCTCAGTTTCATGGATTAGCTGAAGCTAGACATTAACACCGTTGGATGCCGGCTCAGTGGTCTAGTGGTTAAGTGCTCGTGCGCAAAACCAGTGGGTCCTGGGTTCGGATCTCGTAGGGGGCGAGGTCGTGGATGCGCACTGCTTAGGAGTCCCACAATAGAACGAGTCGCTCGTCCAGTGTTTTGAGGTTTTCCATTGCGGTCTAGCTTCAACTGACTCATGATCTTAACCATTGAAATATTTGTTGTTTTAGGTGTATACAAGTTTATAAATCAAACTTGTTACATAAATTCACAAAATTAACAGTCACTTTACAGTCTAGTTTCAAATAACACAATGAACAACGACTGGTGTTAGAAATATATACCACTGTAATTCAACTCTATTGTTTGAAGTTAACAATATTTAAATTATCAAAGTTCAAGGTTCTGTTCCTAATGATGTTGAGGATGTACATTTCAACAAGATCCTTAATAACTCGTTCCTTATTCTTGCTTTTAGTTAATCATACCATTTCGTATCAATATTTAAATAAATTAAGACATGGAAATATACAACAAAATACTTTCTAATTTAAGTTGTAAATCCCTTTTTGTATTATTATTATCATCATAAACGGCAACACTATTAGTAGTGATTGCTTTGTTTGACGATGTAGTTATCCATTCAAAATTATAAATATATACATAATTATACACCTACTTATTATTATTATTAGTATCTAATAGAGTTTTTCCATTCAGTTGTTTTGTTTTAGTAACGTAGATATGATCAGTATTCAGAATATCGTATTATTTCATTTTATTAGTATTGACTATTCAGTTAGTATCATTTTAATTTTTGTAGAAAATCAATCCATCTAACTAATGGGTGTATAGTGTTTGAATTTTAATTCGCTATATTTATATAACATCTTTGGTATTATTGAATGTTACCGTGTACTAATAGGGCTATATAGTATGAATGCTGAATAAAGACATTGTAAAGAATATTGAATTTATTCTAACATAATACTTCTAAGTTGAATATAAGTTAATCTTCATAATAATCGCTGTTGATTAATTTCAAAGAAAATTATTATGTAATGTTAATGTATAATATGAAAGTTTTTTCCTTTTTCTAGATCACTTTTTGTAAACGTAGTTACTAGTGTCATTTATACGTCTACATATTTTAATATTGATCGTTAGTTAAAGTGGCAGTCAGTCAGCAACAACATAGAACTTTGTCCATCAGTTCGAGTTGCCATACCACATTAGCACACAGATACAATTGTCGACTCAAGTTCCGTAGTGGTAGAGGTAGTATGAATATTAGCAGTAATTGGAAAGATTAGGGTTTGGAGTTGTTATTTAAAGAGTATAATCCAGTGAAACAAATCTGGAGAGAGAAAAAGGGGACATGAAGAATTGAGAAGATTAGAATTTGAAAGAACACAAAGAGTGGATGCACCTGCGCCATAGCAAACGATTTTGAGCCATGTCACTCAAGGTCTCTAACCATCGTTTGTTATCATCTCACTGATCCCAACCAGGTAGTCTACACCTACCAACATGACTCAGTTCACTTGTCAGTGACTTCATGGATTTGTGCCATGTTTTGGTCTGGCCACCCCTAGTTTTCCCCAACCGACTCCTATACCATAAAACATCTCACGTCGGGGCATTCGGTCGTTGGGCATACGTAACACGTGTCCCAGCCAACCCCACTGATGAGGTTCCACTACGTCATCAATTGATTTGCCATCCTTACCTAGTACCCGTTTCCTAACAACTGTGTTACTTACTCGATGATCTCAGAATATACGAGCAATGTTTCGAAGACACCTATGATCAAATACTAGTAACCTACGGATATCCTCTACTCTTACCGGCCATGTTTCACTGCCATAAAGTAGGACGGAACGAACTGCTGCACAGTAAACCCATCTTTTGGTTGGTAGACGGATACCTCGCCTACGTCATAAATGACGCAAGTTGGTAAAAGCTAGTCGAGCCTTCTGCATCCGTGCTGAGATTTCGTCACACACCAGACCACAAGGGCTGATGAGACTTCCAAGATAAATGAAGCGGCCGACACGCTTAACTACTTCACTCACTATCATTAGTTCGGGTGTCGAAGCAATCCAATCCTGAAGCAACATTTTTCATTTCGAGGGGGAGAATCGCATCCCGAAAATGCTTGCATTGTTTCTTATAGTGGTCAGAAGACTGCTTTTCGTCAGCGTCTTCACCAAATAGAACTGTCATCTGTGTATTCTAGTTCAAAAAGTGAATTTCCCGGTAGATGAGAAAAATGTTATCTCCAAAAGCTCGTCTACGATAAAGTTAAACAAGAATGGTGAGAGTTGACAACCCTGACAAACACCACTTGAAGTAATCAATTCTGATGACAATTCGCTATTAGCTCTCATTCGGTAGTTAAAGTGTACCTAAAGTATATCAGCCGAGTAAGTGATAATGAATTTCATTGTTTGGAGTAAAACTTCGAATAGAATACTGACCATCAATTTCGGGATGAGTAGTTTTGAAGATGACATCGTTTTAGTTTATTCAAATACAATTGATAAGATGAAGTTCACTTTGTGAATAGGAAAAAGAATAACAGCTGTAACGACAGACTAAAATACATAATTAAGCAAATGTAAAATGTTTGTTGCCTAAGTATTTTCTTCATTTCAATATACAACTTTTCGAAATTTTAATACAGAAGCGTTCGAATGAAAGCTGAAGTTTTAATAATTTTATAGTATTCATCGACTAAGGCAACATATAGTACTGATCACTAAATGAATCAACTTGGTTCAATCACATTTTTTCTTCCTGTTAACCAGCTTATTCAAACGTTTAGGGAATGCAAAGTCGTTTAAAAATAATTAAACATCATCTCACAGACAGCGAAAATAGATTAACTTTAAAGAGAAGGACGGTTCATCCACTAAATTTACTGATGGTTAAATACATTATCACTAAACGTGAAAAGTACACAAACTAAATCAGTATTGTTTACATCTTTTGATCTCATTACCACTTTACTAACCATATCCTAGCATAACTGACTGTGTTATCACTTATTAATAAAGAGGACCCAATTATTCAGAAGTAATTGAAGTTTAGCAGGATAACTTACTTGTGTTTGAGTATAATAGAGTCAAATTCATTTGTTCTACTCATTTATTTCCTTAATAAATAAATAAAAATGAGTTGGAATTGACAGTTATTGATAAAATTCATTCACTTAATAATTCTCATCTTTGTTTGACTAATTTGATTAAGTATTTAGTTGTTATGAGATTATAAAGTTATGGAGTATTACATAATTAAGCCGAAAAATGTTTTACAGCTAAATGAGCTACCAAAAATTTCATGCTTTATTGATACTTGGGTGGTCAAATTTCTATGAAATTTTATTCCATTAAATTACTTGTTTAATTTTGCATTAAATATTGTAATACAATATTACCTACATTTGCTAAATGTCTTTAGGAATATATGTTGCATGTTTTCATCAAGTTGAATATTTAATATCTAACTTTAGAAATATCTATTAACTTTCTCAAGTGTAATATATAGCGTACACTACTTTCTACAATGTAATTGTCCGTTCATCATAACGGCAATAATTTAAGGCCTTTAGTGGGATCAAACTCAGCGACTGTAAATCTTATAATAAATCAGACAATGACTCAAGCCGGAGTCATAATTCCATGATAGCCGTATCTTAAATTAGTTAATTTAACAAGTAAAATAATCAGCATTCATGGTTAAGTAACTACCTTATTTCTAGTGTGATCTTTGAAGAATACACTTTGTCAATAATATTACAAGATGATGATCTCCAAATGATCAAATGATGATTGGTCAATATTGTTAAGTATTTCAAATCGAGTGAAAACGTCAATCTTCGTTATTGCTGTAATTAATGCCCGTACATTATAAAAATAATGTAAGCAGTTATGCATATATGTATGACCTTCTTGATACATATTTGCTAGTTAGGTTAGTTAGAGAATAAATGGGACTATTTGAGCATCAAGTGAACCGCAAGAAGGTATATGGGATTATTTAGATACTTATTTTAATAGTTCTAATGACTGTTAACCGTCTACTAAAATTTATATTCAGAAATTAAAGTAAACGTATTACAAAGTAACTGAAGAATTCTCAAAATAAATATCATGCAATCGGAAGAATGATGAGTAAATTGCAGATTAGTTGAATTTGATAACAACCACTGAAATCACTATTTTGTCATTTAAAAAAAAGTAGTAGATAAAACAAACTAATTTCGTGTAGTTGCTCAAATGTTATCGGCGAAATTATAAATTATAGCCGAACCAATCAGATATAAGTTAATGAGTCACTAATTTTGACGAGAAATTCATCCATTCATTTGGCTAGATAGACTTTTGGCACTATAGTTGATGTCAGTTCGTGATGAAATCCTTAAATCTAATTTTTAACCCTAACCACCAACTGTAAATAAGAATTCTAACTGCTTAATAACCCTAATTTAGTCCTAATCAGCAGATGTTCACTTTAAAGGTCACTTCAGAGTCGCTCAAAGGTCGTCCATTTAATTATAGTCTCACCATGTTATCATCTCCTGTACACTCTAATATATCAATCCGAACTCATATTTTGTAAATAATTCTAATATTTTGTTTTTATACAGTTAAATCGCTATACATTAACAAATAAGATCTTCATTTTAATCAGTTCACTATACAATATTTAACAATGCATATTTTTACTTATTTTATTATTACAGTAAAACAAAAGCTGAAAGCTCAGCATCCAATCAGTAAGTTAAAACGCTATTTATATACTTTATTTCAAGTTTCTCTAACGAATATTTTTGTCATTTTAATAAACCACAATTTGTCAGCTTTAGTTGTCATATAAAAAGTATGTTTTAAATGAATGTTTCTATTAGACAATAACGTCATCTATCACAATTAGATACTAAAAACGACTGTATAAATATACAGACATTACCTTTTGTGTAGAAAAATCTTCCCACAAACTTTTTTGTGAATTCATTTTAATTTATTTTACTGAAGTGGCTACTTATTTAATCCACGTACTATTCTGTTTTACTCACAGCATATATATACTTCAATGAATGATGAAACAGATCCGGAATATTCTCAAATTAATACCATAGTGATAAACATATGTTAGAAAAATGTTTAGATTGTAGTAGAAAATTTATTTAGATTATTCAAATTTAACGAGTCTAATAAAAGACACAACAATTACAATATGAAATAAGGAAAAGTGAATATGTTTATGGAGTGAGCATAAACTATTATAAACTGTTTTCAAATTGTATAAAAAAGCTGATCAAAGCAACAACAACAAAGATTAACTAAATCAAGATGGAAAGAAAATGATAACATTTCCACTTTGAATGGGCTTTTTGTTTTATGTTAACCATTCCAATAAATGAAAATTAACTTGACATTTCTTTTTCCAAGTTGATTACTACAGATAATATAAGTGTAGTGGAGGAAAACTCAGATGAGGATGACCGAATTATTTGAGCACAAAATTACAAAACATCTCATTAAAATCTGAGAACCGTATTGTGAATATACCAATCAATTTTCTCAAACTTGACTGTTCCTTTTGCAAATATCAATCCATCGTCTCATATTTCCTTGTTCATGTATTTCCATACCAATTGCTCTCCGTTCTCGCTCTTTCCATCTCGAACTTCCACTGAAATACATTCTATATCTGACCATCGTTATATACCACTTGTGTGGATATAAGTAGAGCACACCACATAAGTATTAAAATACTTTAGAAAAGTAACCTGTTCGAGTTTGAATCTTTGAAATACATATTCTGTATAAAGCCAATAGTTATTTCTTATATAACAAGTCATAATAATTCATTGCAATTTACAATGATTTAGATGAATACGATTTAGATTTGTTAAAATGTTTCATAATCATTCATGTTTCAGACTGATGTATTTCAAACTATATTGGGATGGTAGAGAAGATTTGTAGCTCATGTGGGTGATTTTGATGGAGTCTTGTTTGGTCATGGAGCTTTCATCCAGCTCAGAAAACAAAACTCCATCAAAACCACCCACATGAGCTACAAATCTTCTCTACCATCCCAATATAGTTTGAAATACATCAGTCTGAAACATGAATGATTATGAAATATTTTAACAAATCTAAATCGTATTCATCTAAATCATTGTAAATTGCAATGAATTATTATGACTTGTTATATAAGAAATAACTATTGGCTTTATACAGAATCTTAGCTTTTGATTAGTAGTTTACTGTAAAATGTCAATTAAAAAAAGACAACTGGGTAATCTTTTAAGAATATCATCATTTCTTTGATCAATAGAATTAAAGTTGCTTTCACAGAGCAGCTATACAAAAAACGTTTTCTTTAAAGAAACAATACAGGAGAATATTTGATAAAAAGGATTAATAACTGAAGTTGGGAAAGCATAAAGTATGACCAGAACAATAAAATAAGTTGTTGAAAAAAGGCTACTAACCAATGTGCAAATTATTCACTTATTTCATTGTGATCAGAAACCGATCAAAGTTAGACGGTCAATGAAAACATGGAAGCAGAAGACTACCATTTCATCCTAGTATGAGACTCCTCAGATATGAGGATCTACAAACCATCCAACCAAAAGTCCAACCAAAGATCCTCGGTCTCACAAACGGCTACTCGACTTCTAAATCACTGAACTGGGATCCAGCGATGGGAAAGCCTAATTTTAATCAATCTGCCAAATTGCTCTATCATCTTTCATTGCCTTCGTAGGGTATCTTCCTCCTGTCTAATTTCAATGGAATTCAACAGTCTCCCCAATATCAGACTGACAAGAATAGCATATTTTCTATATTATAAGTTCACACCCACCTCAAAATACCTCATATTCCCTTTTGAAATGTAAGACATGCATTAGACGGCTACAACTGTTCATTACAAATGGTAGAAAGGTGCTATTTCCAAATCTAACAGTATTTCATCAAATCACTCAAGTATTTATCGCAACTACTTGTTCGCATAGATCTTCCGAAAGACTTCTTAACTCGAAAATATCTGTTAACTCTTGATATATAAAACTCTTAATTGAAAATTATGTGAGTGCCTTAATTTATAATTCAAAAACTACATAGAGTGAAGTGACTATCTACTATTGCCATCACTTGTATCTAATGCAATAAAACCCTGTTAAATACTAGATTTGGACATTCATTTGTGAAGATTATTGATAAACTAACTGGCAATTAGATAAAGTGTTTTACTTCAGCCCACCGCTTAGAACCAAAAATATCGTTCATACGAAACACCAACATTACAATACGAAATTCGTTTATGTTCACTAAGCTTTTGATTTTCTTTGACTGGTTGAATTCAACAGTAATAATCAAACGAACCGATTTTTTTACATCGAAGAATAGTTTTGGTAACAATGAGTTATTTTAATCATTTACCTATTATCTCAAGTCAACCAGATTTATTAAAACAAATACAATTTATCTGTAGGATAGTTAATAGTATGAACAATCATCGTCAATCTGAATCTAGGGTTTAATTACTGCTAAAAAACACACAGAGTTCACTTAATTGTAACATTTCTGAAGACATTTACCGACTCAAAATATTGGAGCTCAAAGTAAATAATGAAATATGTCATTAGTAGTACTACGATGGTCTTCGCTAATTAGTAGCAAATCATCATCTAAGTGTTTCGCTAAAATTAACAACACAAAAAGTAGATAAAAATTTTAAAACTGATCAATAAAATTGTTTAACGCTATCGGCAGTATATAAATGACATTTATATTCTTTGCGTGGCTTGATATAGATTGAGTAATATGATCTCTATGTATACACTGGAATTTGAAGTCTATTATTTCTCATATGAGTATTAACTTTTTTTTTCAACTTTTTCTAGCTTCAATTTCGAATGTACCATCAATATGTTTAAAACAAAAACATTTCTGACTCCGTATTATGGACAGCCGACTAAATTTCATATTCATATTAAATTTGTGTCTCCAAATAAAAAGAGTCTTCGCGAATTCTCCTTAATGACTCATTATGAGGTTAATATTCAGCAATTAAGGAGTATTAAAACGTCAGTCACCTCCACTTTTGCTGATGAAGTAAGATTTTGACTGATCCATTTTCCGAATTAATAATTTTATTCCTTTTATATAAAAAGCATATCATCAAAGTGTTATTCATTGATTCATAAATTTATTAGTTGTTACACCAAAAACTTGTTGTTAAAATCTTTAACAGAAGTTTACAGAATGCTTTGAAAAACATACTGACCAAAAACCACTTATTATGAAGTTGTTTCAGTTCTTCTCGAAGTTTTATAAACTCATGGCAATTTTTATATTGTGCCCACCTGAATATATTTAAGTTAATGTATAATGATATTTTAGCAGAATTAACAAAGGTCTCTTTGTCTACGGATGGTTATAAGCCTTTTAAATCATGTATAATTGTCATTATATTTAACAATTTATCCTTGTTTTCATTGTAATTTTGAAAAGAGAAGTTAGTTTGTTTTTAAATTGCAGCATATAGTCTAGCAACTCCGCCTGTAGCTCTTCTAGAGTTACTGCCGGTCCCAAGCCCGGGTAAAGGAGGAGGGTTGGGCATGGGGTTAGCGTCCCCATCCCGTAGAAAACTAACTCGCTAAAAAAACGCTTACCAGAAAAAATAATTCAAACCATTTTAACTCTGCCCTGAGAGTTAGAAGGTCTTCATTTAGAAGAATTATGACGCTTCATGGTGAAAGCCGAGTTCCTTCGGAAGCCACGAGGCCGATACCCCTTCTAACAACCAGAGCAAAAATTTTTATAGGTACATGGAACGTCCGAACAATGTGGGAAACCGGGAAGACCAGTCAAATAGCAATGGAAATGAGGAGATACAACTTAGCAGTACTGGGGATCAGCGAAACTCACTGGACCCAAGCTGGACAGAAAAGACTAGCTACGGGAGAGATGCTGCTATACTCCGGTCACGAAGAGGAAAATGCTCCACACACTCAGGGAGTTGCTCTCATGCTGTCCAAAGTAGCACGAAATGCACTTGTAGGATGGGAATCCCACGGATCCAGAATCATCAAAGCATCATTCAAAACAAAGAAGGAGGAGATCACAATGAATATTATCCAATGTTATGCACCCTCCAATGAGAGCAACGACCACATTAAAGATCAATTCTATGAGAGGCTGCAATCAATCATAGAGAAGTGCCCAAGAAATGACCTCACCATTCTGATGGGAGATCTAAATGCCAAAGTCTGAATAGACAACACCGGAAAGGAAGATATCATGGGACGACATGGATTGACTGTGAGAGAGAAACGAAAATGAGGAAAGATTTGCAAATCTATGTGCATTCAACAAATTGGTCATAGGAGGCACAATATTTCCACACAAGCGTATACACAAGGCTACATGGATCTCACCGGACCACACTACAGAGAACCAAATAGATCATATTTGCACCAACAAAAAGTTCCGAAGGACAATGGAAGATGTGAGAACCAGGAGAGGTGCTGACGTAGCTTCAGATCACCACCTAGTTGTAGCCAATTTGAAACTGAAGCTAAAAAAGAACTGGACAAGTGGACAGACAGCAATACAAAGGTTCAATACAGCCTTCCTTCGAGATACTAACAAATTCAACGAATTCAAGATAGCTCACAACAACAGGTTCTAAGCCTTACAGGACCTACTGAAAGAAGAAGAAACTAGTATGGAGGAAAACTGGAAAGGCATCAAGGAAGCATTAACTTCAACGTGTCAAGAGGTTCTGGGCCTCAAGAAATACCATCATAAGGAATGGATCTCCATAGAAACATTGGACAGGATCAAAGAAAGGAAGAAAAAGAAGACAGCAATAAACAACAGCCGAACACGAGCAGAGAAAGTCTAAGCACAAGCTGAATACATAGAAGCAAACAAACAAGTGAAGAAGTGCATTAGAGCCGACAAGCAGAAATACGTGGAAGAACTAGCAACGACGGCAGAAAAAGCTGCTAGAGAAGGAAATATGAAACAGATTCACAATACAACGAAGAAACTAGCAGGGAAATACAGTAAACCAGAGAGACCAGTCAAAGACAGAGAAGGCAAGCCAATCACTGAAATTCAAGAACAGCGTAACAGATGGGTAGAGTTCTTTGAGGAACTCCTGAATAGGCCGGCTCCAATGAATCCACCGAACATCGAAGCAGCACACACAGATCTTCCTATAGATGTCAACCCACCAACGACGGAAGAAATTAGAGCGGCCGTCAGACAAATCAAGAACGGGAAAGCAGCAGGACCCGACAACATACCAGCTGAAGCACTGAAATCAGACGTCGAAGTAACCACAAGCATGCTTTACCCTCTATTCAAAAAGATTTGGGAGGAGGAACAAGTGACGATGGACTGGAAAGAAGGGCACCTCGTCAAGATTCCAAAGAAAGGAGATCTGAGCAAATGTGAGAACTACAGAAGCATAACACTACTGTCAATACCAGGGAAGGTCTTCAACAGAGTTTTGCTGAACCGGATGAAGGATGCAGTAGACGCTCAACTTCGAGATCAACAAGCTGGATTCCGTAAGCATCGGTCGTGCACAGACCAAATTGCAACACTACGGATCATCGTCGAACAATCAGTTGAGTGGAACTCATCACTATACATCAACTTCATTGATTATGAAAAGGCATTCGACAGTGTAGATAGGAGGACATTATGGAAACTTTTTCGACACTAAGGAGTTCCTGAGAAGATTGTCAATATTATCCGGAACTCATACGACGGACTACAGTGCAAGGTCGTGCATGGAGGACAGCTGACAGATGCATTCCAAGTAAGGACCGGGGTCAGACAAGGCTGTTTACTCTCTCCCTTTCTCTTTCTTCTGGTGGTCGACTGGATTATGAAGACCTCGACATCTGAAGGAAAACACGGAATACAATGGACAGCTCAGAACCAATTAGACGATCTGGACTTCGCAGATGACCTAGCTCTTATATCACGTACACACGAACAGATGCAGATGAAGACAGCCAGTGTAGCAGCAGTCTCTGCATCAGTAGGCCTCAGTATACACAAAGGGAAAACGAAGGTCCTCAAATTCAAAGCGGAAAACAGCAATCCAATCACTCTTGATGGCGAAACTCTGGAAGATGTAGAATCCTTCACATACCTGGGACAAGGAGGTTCAGATGCAGACGTAAAGGCGAGGATTGGCAAAGCAAGGGCCGCATTCCTACAATTGAAGAACATATGGAATTCAAAACAACTTTCAACCAATATCAAAGTGAGAATCTTCAATACGAACGTCAAGGCAGTTCTACTGTATGGAGCTGAAACTTGGAGAACTACAACAACCACAATCAAGAAAGTACAAGTATTTATAAATAGCTGTCTACGCAAGATACTCAACATCCATTGGCCAGATACCATCAGCAATAGCCTTCTGTGGGAGAGAACAAACCAACTTCCAGCTGAAGAGGAAATTAGGAGAAGACGATGGAAATGGATAGGACATACATTACGCAAATCGTCAAACTGTATCACGAGACAAGCCCTAACTTGGAATCCTGAAGGGAAGCGGAAAAGAGGAAGGCCAAAGAACACATTACGTCGGATAATAGAAGCAGATATGAAAAGGATGAATTACAACTGGAAGGAGCTGGAAAGGATTGCCCAGGACAGGGTTGGATGGAGAATGCTGGTGAGCGGCCTATGCTCCTTCACGAGGAGTAACAGGCGTAAGTAAGTAAGTAATATAGTCTAGCACGACATCAGAACTTTCAAAGGGTCATAAAAATTCAAATCATTCACTTCTTCAACGAAAAAGCTTACTTAAGTTATTAAATAACATCATACAAGTATGAAATTTCAGTCTACATAACTGTGCGATAATCACCTACTCTAGTCGTTTACCGCAGTGAAACTTCTAAATCACCAACCTATTGTTTAAATATGAAATATTACTACCGACATATATGTTCTCCTTTTCCTTCAGTTCACATGTAGTTTGAAACTATAGTCAGTCTTTTGATATTTGCTACACTCTCATACCCCATAATTTAAATATGCTACCTCTAATACTCAATAAATAATTACTAAACTAAGTATGAATAAACTGAAAAAAAAGATAATTTTGTCTACAACTAATCAGAAATATCAGTCACATTGCTTAAAACTGTACATTTGGTTTAAAAATTATTGAAATGATCTAAGTGGTTGAACGAATGGTTTTCTTGCAAGATATATTAATATCTCGCGGCTAAACAGTCAATAGAAAATAGAATCAATGAATAATTGTCAGTATATATATATATATATATATATATAATCCAGTAGAAAGAAGGTCAAGTATTTATGGTAAAAAGGATTAAGATTGTGTCGTTAAGTTACTTACCGAATAACAAATAATAAATCAAAAATGAAAATAAAGATGATATAGATATCACTGAAGCTGAACTTTAACTGTGCTATTATTTACAAACATTAGAGATAAATTACATTTGAGCTGTGAACACATACGTTAAGAAAGCAGCGATGAAAACATAAAGAAGCGAAACGGTTTTGTCAACTCTCTTTTGAATGTATTACATCTAATAATTATTGATGTAATGTTTTACTGATTTAAAAAAAGTTATAAATCTTGATAACTCGTCAATAACCGTATTTCCACAATTCAATTCGTGAGTTGGTCTAAGCTAGACCACCATTAAAAACCTGGAAGCACTGAACAGTCGTTTCGTTCTAGTTTTCGACTTCTCAGTAGTGCTCATTTACGATCCAGCACTCAGGACTCGTGCCCAGAACCTTCGGCTATTCAATACTTCCAGGTTATCAACGGCAGTCTTTTGGTGGGGCCCTTTAGTTTGTCGTCATTTAGATCGGACGTTGATTTCAAGGAGCTCTCCACTTTAGTGGCCCGGGATCTTACACCGATCAGATAGCATGAATGATTGTTATTAAATGAATGTTGTCAAAATGTATATGTCGCCTATCCTCGTATATAATCATCGACATAATTCGCGTTAGTCAATAACAGGACTAAATAAGTCAAATACGAGAATGGACTTTTGGATACATATATTTTGTATATGAAGCGAATGGAAGAGAGCGAATCGAAACGACGCGCAGTGAATATGATGAGTAAGACAACTCCCTTTAGTCATTTATTTTTATTTATTTATTTGAACACATAAATACTGTTACAAAGTGGCACCAAATATATATCCGCCATACAAAACAATGAGAATGGAAAGAGAAGAAAAAAAGAAGGTAAGGAGCGTTAAGAAAAGAAAGAACAATAACGACCACAGATTAGTGTAAGGTAGTTTAGTAATAGCGATAATAATAATGAAGGAAACCGAAAAGTAAAACCAGAAGAATTCTTTCAGTTACGGAAGATACAACCACGTTTTGTGAAGAAAGTAAAAGAAGGTTACAGCCATATCTGATAACGTCTCTAGCCACTGTGTTGCACCATCTCTAGGACCCCAACCAGGAAGTTGTGAAGGACCGACAGAAGCCAGTCCTTTGCAGCTTTCTTTCATACCACGACACAATGTCATGCACTGACCACCTCTCCGCTTCTTCCAACCAGTCCCAGCGTCGGCAAATAATGCACGACGTGGAATTCTCTGGGACGACATTCGGAGAACATGTCCAAGCCACCGAAGTCAGTGTTTCAAGATGGTGACACCAATTGAATTATCATCTCTGTGCCCGAACACACGATGCCGAACCTCTGCATTACTGACATGGTGTTGCCACTGAATGTCAGCAATCCTTCGGAGACAGCGATGATCGAACACAGAGAGTCGTCTAACGTTCTCAACTCGGAGAGGCCAGGTTTCACAAGCATAGAGCAAAACTGCTCTCACCGACGCGTTGTAGATCCGACCGTTTACAGCCAGACTAACATCACGAAGGCGCCAAAGGTGGTCCAGATTGGCATAAGCCGCTCTGGCTTTCACTATTCGTGCATTGATCTCATCACCCACAACCCCACCAGCACTTATGCAGCTACCCAGATACACGAACTTCTCGACTACGTCTATCTGCTCACCATCCAGGGCGAGTACAGGATTGGAATCCTGCCAGTCTTGTAGAAGTACTTTGCACTTGGAAGGTGCAAAGCACATACCATACCTACGGACACTGATTGTCAACTGATTAAGTGCGGATTGCATGCCTTGGGCATTATCGCACAGTAAGACAATATCGTCCGCATACTCAAGGTCGAGAAGTCTTTCTCCAGGCAACAGATCCACACCGCCATTACTTACATCCATCACAGCTGTTTCCAGAATGTCATCGATGGCAAAGTTGAAGAGGAATGGTGAGATCGGGCAACCCTGCCTAACCCCACTACTCGAATGGAACAATGGAGAGAGGTGGTTGTATGCCCTCACTCTGCCTGAGGTGTTTGTATATAGGGCTTTTAGGATGTTAATAAACTTCTCAGGCACACCCTTCTTCAATAGACAATCCCAGAGAACAGTCCTGTCCAACGAATCGAAGGCAGCCCTGATGTCAAGAAACACTACGATTGTTGGCCTTTGATAAGTATGGCGGTGTTCTAACATTTGGCGGAGGGTGAAGATATGATCAATACATCCTCGACCGGAACGAAACCCAGCCTGCTCCTCGCGAGTCAATCTTTCTCGGGTTTTGAACAACCTACGAAGTATGACGGAAGCCAATAGCTTGGACGCAATCGGAAGTAGACTTATCCTCCGATAGTTGTTACAGAAACGACGTGAACCCTTTTTAAAGATAGGGACAACTATCGACTCATTCCATGACGTTGGTACACTCTCTAGTTCCCAAACCTTTGTAAACAACGTCGTCAATTCCTTAGTCAAAAAGTTACCACCATCTTTAAAAAGAGCCGGAGGTAAGTCATCTGGGCCAGGTGATTTGTAACGCTTCAAGAGTTGGAGTTCCTTGCGGACTTCCTCCTCGTTTGGTGGATCAGTCGTCACCGGCCACGGAGGGCAGGACAGTCTGACCGAAGTTGCCGGAGCAGCAGGTCAGTTGAACTGCCCTTCGAAAAATTCTGCCCATCGTCCAAGACGTCGATGGATGTTAGTGATTGGCATCTCATCATCCTCGCAGATTGTTTCACTCACACCAGACTTCTTGCTGCCAGTGTCTCGGATGAGTTGGAAGAGCTTCCGGTAGTTACCAGATGCAGCTGCTGCTTCCAGCTCATCATCACGCTCCGGCCACTAGGCTTCTCAGTCCTTATGCAAGCTTTGCCAGATTTTATTAGGTAACAGCCCTCGTTTGTGGTCTTGACAATAATAACCGACACTACAATCTTAGATCGACTCGTAAACTCAACTATGAAAATACTACAATCTCCACAAATCCTCAAACTATATATACAATAACTCAACTGATACTTTTAATCTTCAGTTAATTTTCGTTTTAATTTATTTTATTTCATTTTTTAAATTAGAAGATTGGTTTCATTCTAAACAATCAACTAGAATGGAAATTAACTGATATTGGAATGATAAATAGATTATACAGTACAACTAATATTTATTCTAAATTAATGAATGAATCTATTAAATTAATTTTATTGCATAATATTGAAAATCAATTATTATCATTAATACTTATGGAATATAATAATCAATATGAACAAAAAATTTATTCCATTAAAAGTTGGTTACAACCATGGCGTAATTTACATGAATTTATATTACAATGGCCAAATTTAAAATTACTACAAATTATAACTATATATGATATTATACCAATAGATTTATATAGTGGAATAACATTAGATCATTTAATTTACTTTAATCATATAAAATATTTTATTATAAAAAATCAAATCATGTTTAAATTAGATGAACAAAAATTATCTATTTTATATCAAATTAAAAGATTAAATGCATCAAATACTACTGAATTAACTTTCATTAAAAGTAATATAACACAAAATGAGGAAATTATTTTACAATTAGAATTCATTATACAATTATATTACCATATCAAATTATTACCATTATATATTCAACTGATATGTGAAAGCAAAATTCATTTTTATTTATCTAATTATAAAATAAATAAAAATATGATGGGTAAATTAAAATTGAATATAGAAAAATTAAAAAGTGATATACATTTTGAATTATTAAATGATTATTTAAATAATCAATTCAATAATGATATTCAATTACAAATGAATTATGATTTTAATAATAAATCAATAATTCATCTAAGTTTTAAAACAAACACACAATTGAATATACAAAACAATTTAATGATTTATTGGAAATCAATAAATCATTCACATTATTTAATCATAAATTGTATGATTCCATCATATGGTAAATTTATTTATCATTTTAAACATAAATGGAATCATATTTATTCTTTTGAAGGTTCTAATATGTTGTCAATTCAATCATTTATAATAAATAATTGGTTGAATGGATTTTATTTAAATAATAATTATATTTTACAATTAAATACAAATGAAAAGTTATTTGAAATATATATTGAATATAATACAAATAATTCATTAGGTCCTGGTACACCAATACGTATAAGAATAATGTTTAAACATGATGAATATTATAAACATGGTAATTTAGAAATTAGTTTAAATTCACAATTAATTGGTTATTATATTGGATATGAAATGATGAATAGTATGATTCAATATCATTTGGATACAAGTAATAATGAGAAATCAATAGATTTTATTAGTCATTGTATCATTGGATATCGTTTTTATGAAGGTCGGGGTACAAAAGGTTATCAAATTGAATTATTTATTATACAATATATAAATAATGATCAACTTGATATTTTATTTAAAATTGGACAACCTGGTCTAGTTAATCATAATATAATAGAATATAACCATTTATTACAAAGGAATCAAACAAAATTTCAAATTACTACTGTTTATTTAAATAATCCTTATTTTCATCTACATTTTGATATTCAATATATTGAGAATTTATTATTACCTATTTATTCAAATATTAGTCTATTTATTCCATGGAATCATTTAAGATTAACAATACAAGAACAATTAAACATCAATAAATCTTCTCCTATCATTTATGAAAATCTATTAATTTCAATGAATCAATCAACAATATTTTATTATTTTAATCAATCATTTATATATGAAAATAAGTTAATTAAATCTTTAAATATACTTCAGAATATATATTTACAATGGAATACAAATGTATATCGTACACATTATAGTATATTATCTTATAAATGTTTACAAAATACTATGAATACTGAATATCATGAACAATTTATAGGTAATTGGAATTCATCTATCTTTCTAACATGGATTCATAATCATTTCAATAATAATTTAAATATTTATTATAATTTAACTGATCATATATGGAATAATAGAATTGATGGAAATATGACTGAAATCACTAAAATCAAATTGAATACTACTATATATCAATATAATTATTATGGTAATATTATCATTTCATTTTATCATATTGATATTAAACTTATAAATACAACATATATTTATAAAAAACAATTATATAATTCAATGATATGGAATTATATTGAATTTAGTTATTGTCAAAATCAAACAATTCATACTGGATATTTAATAGAATCTATATATAAACAACAAACTGATTTGATTTCTTATCAATTTTATAATAAAATAAATAATAATACAATTTCAAATGTTTATTTACAATTAAAAGATTTTGATAATTTTCAGGTTATTATAAACGTTATTCCAATTAATTTTACTAATATTCAATTTATTGATATTCAATTAACAAGTAGTATATCTGTAAGTAATATTGATTGGATGTTGAATGGTACAATGGAAATTCAGCCATATTTACCTAAAATTTTGATGCTAATCAAAATATACCCAATCATGTTACATTTCAATAATAATAATAATACATTACATGTTCATTTTAAACCATTACAATATTTTATTATAATGAAAAATACAGATGAATATAGTGAATGGAAACTTTTTAATATGTCTTATATACAAACATTTGACAATGAAACTAATATACAAGCTAAAACTGTATCTATTCAATTAATAACACCATTAATAATATTGCCTTATATTACAGTGACAGTAAATAAATCCATTCAACGTATAACTACTAATGAAACATTGAATAATTTAATTGAATTTAATCATACTACTAATTATAATCAGTCAATTAATATTCAAATGAATTCAATACAAATCAATAATAATAATTTAACGATTTTAATTAATATTCATAAAAAGTATAAATTATTATTAGATATTAGAAAAATTATAAAAAATTCTTTATATTGCCATTTTATAAATATTTCATTATTTAATAAACAAAAACAATTGAATAATTTTGTACAAACTTTTGAAATAAATCAATTAAATAAACAATTTAACATTTATCAATTAAAACAACATTTACAAATACTCAATAATAGTAATGATAGTTGTTATTATAATTTATTATTCAACTTAATTCATTCAAATAAAGTCAAAAATAATTTGTTTAATTTATTTAATTTACATTTTTATTCAAATATACCAATATTAATTAAACAACAAATAAATGAAATGAATATATATTTTGAAAATAATAATAGTATTATTGATAATCAGTTTAGTTTTAAAACAATATTTAATTATTCATTAAATAGTATTCAATTAATTTATTATCAATTACAAATTAAATTAATTAAAAGTAACTATTTATTATTATTCTTAAAATATGAAATATATTCAAACAGTAAATGGATAAAATTTAAACAAAATCAAAATTGTTTTATCGAATTTCATATTTATAAACAATCTAATTATTCAATCATATTTAATTATAATGAAAAATATTCAATCATAAATTATGATGTATCACAGTCCTTATTCATATTGAACATTGAAAAGTTTATATTTTTTAAAACAAATATCATGAAATTCATTTTATTATTATTATATAATACTACTAATCATTTGAATTATACAAAACAAAATATACAACAGATTACCAATAAAACTTTATTTATAAATAATGAAAATAATTTAATCGATTTTATCGTAATAATTCCTAACCTTATTGATTTCATATTTAAATTTCAATTATATAATACTATTGAATTTCAACAAATTTATCAAACTTCAATAATAAACATGAATGTATCTACTAATTTATCATTTATTCCATCTATCAATTATATTATTTCAATGAAGAAACAAAATATTTCATTCAAACAATTAATAACCATCTTGGATTATTATGGATGTATTAAGAATTTATTATATAATGGTAATATTAGTCAATCAAATCTTATATCACAAGCGAATAGTATAAATAATCAAAATAAAATTATGATAATCAAAAGTTATTTACAAATATATAAAAATACTACTTATAACATCAATATACATGTGAATCTTAATCCTATAAGTAAAACAATCATTCGATATATTATTGATATGAATATGAATAAAATAAATGATGATTCAGAAAATCTCTATATTCAAGCTTATACAAAATATGATTTAATAAATCAAAACAATTTCATTTCTATATTAAATTTAAAAAATAAACAAAAATTAATCAATTTTACTATATTAATCAATTATTTACATAAAAATCAATTTATCAGTTTATTGATTTCGAACATTTCAAATAATAATAATAATAATAATAATAGTGAAATAAATATTGAATATTTATCAGAAAATGGGAAAAAATCAATAATTATTCGAACACTTTTGAGGAAATTAACTTATTCTATTGAATCAAATCAATTTATAGTAAATGAAACGAATAATGTTTATAAAAATAAAACAATCATATATGAATCAACTAATATGACAAATCTTAAAGGAAAAAATAATATTCGAATTAAATTTACTACTTATCAGAATTATTATATTCTGTATACTGGTGAGAAAACAGATGAACACATGGAAAGATTGCAACATATTGGTTTTAATCTAGAAACAAACATTTTGAAACAAGTAGATTATTTTCATTTTAAATGCTGTTAAACTGGATTGTTATTAATATTGGAAAATGTTTTTACAGCTGAATGAAAAACTGGACATTTATTACTTACTTACTTACTTACCTGGTTACTTACTATCGTCTTTTACTCCAAATAGAGCATAGGCCATCGACTAGCATTATCCATCCCACTCTGTCCTGAGCCTTCTTTTCTAGTTCTATACAACTGTTGTTCATTTTTATCTTATATGTGTCCATTTCTCGGTGTAATTGTTCTTTGGTCTTCCTCTTCTCCTTTGGCCTTGAGGATTCTAAGTGAGGACTTGCCTTATGACGTAGTCGGGTACTTTCCTCAATGGGTGTCCTATCCACTTCCATCGCTTCTTCGTGATTTCTTCCTTCGCTGGAATCTAGTTTATTCCCTCACACAGTAGGTTGTTGCTGATAGTATTTGGACAACAGATCCGAAGTATTCTGCGTAGAGAGCTGTGAATAAACACTTGTATCTTCTGGATGATTGCTTTCGTAGTTTTCCAAGTCTCCGCCCAATATAGTAGAGAAAATAACTCAACTCGAAACTTATGAATTTCAACAAGCTACTCGGACTTTATAATTATCATTAGAAATTTGTGTTAGCTTTCATTAAGACGAGGTGATCATAAGCGTCGAAATGCATGTGATCAATTGGTATCATATGTAAGGACATATACCTGCTTATAAGATCAAAAAATGTGTTTTATTTGTCTCGTTTTCAATGGTGAACCAATTCTATCGACCCCTGGTCTTAATAAGTCGACTTTATTAGCAATAGTATAAAACTGATCTGTACTTATGTTATGTGAACTCATTACACTGAATTTATAATCCTTAAAAGGAACTAAAATAAATAAACCAACTGAATTTTGATAAATTCACTTTCATTCATTTATGTGAGATATTGTGACAAATAAATATTTTGTGTTAGCATTCATGTGTAATGAATAAACCTAACTCGAAACATTAGGGTTGATACGGAGCTAAAGGTGAAAAACACAGCAACGACAAGAGGAAAGAGTCAGACATGATTTCGCAGTTAGATGAATGGAGATCATTTTAAATAAGAGTGGAAATTGGTTAATGATAATATAATAACAATAACTGGTTGAAGTTAAACGTTAACACCATTAGACGCCGGCTCAGTGGTCTAGAAGTTAAGCACTCGTGCGTGAGACCGATAGGTCCTGGGTTCGAATCCTGCTTGCTAGACCGTAGGTGCTCACTGCTGAAGAGTTCCATATTAGAACGAAACGGCCGTCTAGCGCTTCCAGGTTCTCAATGGTAGTCTAAGATCAATTGATTCATGAACCCAACCAAATAATAGTAAAATTTAAACAAATAATACTAATGAAGATTTTGTTGAATAAATTCTTAAAGAAAATAACAAGGAAAAAACAGGAAAATAATTATATAAAGCAAATACATTTATTAACGCTGAAAGCTAAACATATGTAAAGTTCAGGTCAGTAATGAAAGGTATGGAGTAATATCAAACTGACAATACAGCTGAACCGATTTTGAATTATGTCACCCAATGTCTAAAACCACTGGTTGATACCTATCATACTAAACCCGATCAGAAAATTTAAACTCAATTTTTTTTAGTTATAAATCAGCTATATTTCTTAATGAATGGTAATAGAACTCGGACATTTGATTTCGTTTATCACATTTCACAATTGGGTCCTTCGCTCCTTTTACATTTTTTTTTCAAAATATAGGGTTCTATAAATATCCTAAGCAAAATATCCAAATCTACAGGTAACACTCAGCTGATAGTAACCATGAATCATGGGTATAATTCAACTGCCGATCATCAACTTATTGTTACATGGCCACATGTTTTCGAGGAGGAACATTATCCTTTATTATTTCTAAAAACTTCGAACAAGTCTTTGAATCTAACTGTTAGTTATTTCCAACAACCGGGTATATTAAATACATGTGAGTAACTGATAAGTGTACTTTTCGATCAATAAGGTAAACCATTGCATGTTGACCTAATTTTCTACTGTAATATTTTATCTAATTTGCTTTAAAAAAATTTTCATCATTTACTAGCCACAATAAGTTCAATAAATTTTACTCAGTGATGAAATGAAATATTTTGAGTTAACTAGCATAACATTAGCACCATCGGATGCCGGCTCAGTGGTCTAGTTGGTTAAGCGCCTGGAGCGAGACTGACAGGTCCTGTGTTCGGGTCCCGCGAGGCGGGATCGTGGATGCGCACTGTTGAGGAGTCCCACAATAGGACGGAACGGCCGTCCAGTGTTTTGAGGTTTTCCATGGTGGTCTGGTTTCAAATGACTCACGATCTCAACTGTTGAATAAGTAAGTTTATGCTTATTATCTAAGTAATCGTTTTTATTTCACTAAGTAACACATATCTTTATACCTACTGTTCTATAGCCCTTCAGATTATAACAAATGAACACCACACACAATGTAAATTCTACTGGAAAAAATGGAATTCTATTCACCTACTGGTAAGTTTCAACTTTGATTAATTATAAAAATTTCTGAAATAGCTAAAGTTTTTACAATGTGTGGTAGACTAAATTAATAAAAATGAAGGTTTATTAAGGTATACATCCATAGCAAATAATCTTCTAAATCAAACTATTCATTACTCATAACGAAGATGGTTTGCATTAAATTTATCCCAATGCATCTGAGATTAAATCTTTTGCTAACGATAATTTCCTGTATAGGTTGGTGAATTGAAAGAACACATCAAACCGCTTATTAGTTTGCTTTCTTTTAAGACACTTCAATTTAAATCGAATTCGAAATGACAGAGTTCATTTATGTCTGAAGATGTGCATGTTGGTTTTGTGTTCTCTAATCTGAATGATGGAGTTGTGGATGTCTCATCGTTTTATTAAACATTGTCACCAGTACATGCTTCAGTGGGAAGTGAGCTATTAGAATTTCTCCACAATAGGCCAACAATTTATTCTGCTGACCTAGAGTTTTATCGGTTGTTATCTATGATTGTATGCCTATTGTTTGCGTTGATTTAATCTTTTTTTTACTAAACCTATTCCTGAATTTTCACTGATCACTCCTTCCTCTTATTGGCTGATAGATTTGGTTGATGTAGAAATGTCCATAAATTGATACTAAACCAGGGATCCCAGGCGTCTAAAACCTCCCTAGTTTACTTTTAGACTCATCTATCGAATACTTCAAAATTTTTGGAGTCGAAATCATATCTAACGTTTTCCATATCCATATGAGTAAAACCATATCGTTGCGTTTCACAGCTAACTGGTGCTCAAATAAACAAGTGAGAGGTTACTTTGTCCTTTGTAGCATTTGTCGCAGTTACTGCAATTTACACTGCCTACGGTATTTCTAGACAACAACCAACTAAACTCTGGGTCAGTAGAATAAGTTGTTTGCCTATTGTGGAAAAATTCTAATATTTCACTTTTCTCTGAAGTATGTGCTGGTGACGATGTCAAATAAGACAATGAAACCTTCACAACTACATGAACCCAGAGAGCATAACACTACCAAATAAGTAAAATTTCCACTTTTCTTCAATGTAGACAGTTTGATCCAATAAACGTCTATACTCTTGTTGGGATGAGTTATTAGTAAATCTCTAATTTATTTTGTTTATTTAAAATGTTCACGTGCTTACTTTTTAGAATTATAAAAATATTTATAATTTGAGTCAAAACACTGTTAATTTAAATTGAGAACTCCTTAAATAACATTAAAAAAATACTATTATCTTTTTGACATTAGGGATTTAAATGGATTCTCATTTTATCCTGCTAATCTTCAATCATTATATCTCAAGTGGAGTAAATACTCTTCAAAATAAGATGATTAAATCGTGGGAAGTTTCGACAGATTTCATACTCTCTCTGGGTCACATGATAAGCTCGAGGCAAGTGTTTGGCGGTCATTTTAACTGGATTATTCGCCCAACCAATATCGCTCTCTAGATTTTCCTATCTGCCCAAATCTGTACACTTTGATCAAATCATGAATTGTAAGGAAAGATATTCGGCTTTTCGTACCAAACCTTCCTACATAGTCCTCTCCCTCATAGCTGCTTGGTGAAACATAGAAGAGCATATTATTGGATGGACAAAGTCGTAGAACATAATAGTTTATGGACCTGATGACTTTAAAGTTTATAGTATTAAACTAGAAATGTAACGATGTTTACAAATATTTGGTCTAAGTTCAATTCCTTCTTCCGATTTCGCTAACCACGTTTTGTGAAACCGAACGCGAAGGGTTTCTTGGTCTACTAATAATGAAAAGTATCACCAGTAAATATTTCACTTAACAATATGTAGAGTGACTGTAGTACAAATAATTCATTTCCAAAGGGGTATAAATAAAAGGAACCTAGTGTGGAGAACATCCAGCTCAGAGAACAAAACTCCACCGGAACCTAGTGTATAATCCAATAATACGTAGGAAGATCAATTATAATGATGCAGTTTCAAGGCTTGGTTTGAATTTCAACTTTAACAATTACCGTAATTTTTAAAATTAAATACATCGTATTTATCTAACAAAATTGTAATTATTTTCATTTGAAGAAGGGATTTCAAACGGTTCTGTAGAACAAAACATGTCGGGTTAAAAAGAATCTTAGTTACTTACTTGCTTACGCCTGTTACTTCTCGTGAAGGAGTACAGGCCGCCCACCATCACTCTACATCCAACCCTGTCCTGGGCAATCCTTTCCAGCTCCTTCCAGTTGTTATTCATACTTTTCATATCTGCTTCTATTTCTTGACATAATGTGTTCCTCAGCCTTCCTATTTTCCGCTTCTCTTCAGGATTCCAAGTTAGGGATTGCCTCGTGATGCAGTTTGGTGATTTCTACAATGTATGTCCTAACCATTTCCATCATCTTTTCCTAATTTCCTCTTCAGCTGGAAGCTGGTTTGTTCTTTCCCACAGAAGGCTGATGCTGATGGTATCCTGCCAACGACGGACATTGAGTATCTTGTGTAGACAATTGTTTGTAAATACTTGTACCTTCTTGATGATGGTTGTTGTAGTTCTCCAAGTTTCAGCTCCGTACATTAGAACTATCTTCACGTTCGTATTAAAGATTCTCACTTTGATATTGGTTGGAAGTTGTTTTGAGTTCCATATGTTCTTCAATTGTGTAGGGATGCGGCCCTTGCTTTGCCGATCCTCACCTTTACGTCTACATCTGATCCTCCTTGTTCATCGACGGTGCTTCCCAGATACGTGGAGGATTCTACATCGTCCAGGGTTTCGCCATTAATTGTGATTGCGTTAGTGTTCTCTGTGTTGTATTTGGGGATTTTAGTTTCCCCCTTGTGTAGGTTGAGGCCTACTAATGCAGAGTCTGCTGCTACACTGGCTGTCTTCATTTTCATTTGTTCGTGTGTGTGCGATAGGAGAGCTGGGTCATCTGCGAAGTCCAAATCGTCTAATTGGTTCTGAGCTGTTCATTGTGTGCCGTGTTTTTCCTCAGATGTCGAGGTTTTCATGACCCAGTCGACCACCAGAAGTAAGGGGAAGGGAGAGACTAGACAGTCTTGTCTGACTTCGGTCCTTACTTGGAATCCATCTGTCAGCTGTCCTCCATGCATGACCTTGCACTGTAGTCCGTCGTATGAGTTCCGGATAATATTGACAATCTTCTCAGGAACTCCTTAGTGTCGAAAAAGTTTCCATAATGTCCTCCTATCTACACTGTTGAATGCCTTTTCATAATCAATGAAGTTGATGTATAGTGATGAGTTCCACTCAACTGATTGTTCGACGATGATCCGTAGTGTTGCAATTTGGTCTGTGCACAACCGATGCTTACGGAATCCAGCTTGTTGATCTCGAAGTTGGGCGTCTACTGCATCCTCCATCCAGTTCAGCAACACTCTGTTGAAGACCTTCCCTGGTATTGACAGTAGTGTTATGCCTCTGTAGTTCTCACATTTGCTCAGACCTCCTTTCTTTGGAATCTTGACGAGGTGCCCTTCTTTCCAGTCCATCGTCACTTGTTCCTCCTCCCAAATCTTTTTGAATAGAAGGTGAAGCATGTTTGTAGTGACTTCGACGTCTGACTTCAGTGCTTCAGCTGGTATGTTGTCGGGTCCTGCTGCCTTCCCGCTCTTGATTTGTCTGATGGCCATTCCGATTTCTTCCGTCGTTGGTGAATTGACATCTATAGGAAGATGTGTGTGCTACTTCGATATCCAGTGGATTCATTGGAGCCGGCCTATTCAAGAGTTCCTCAAAGAACTCTACCCATCTATTCCGCTGTTCTTGAATTTCAGTGATTGGCTTGCCTTCTCTGTCTTTGACTGGTCTCTCTGGTTTACTGTATTTCCCTGCTAGTTTCTTCGTTGTATTGTGAATCTGTTTCATATTTCCTTCTCTAGCAGCTTTTTCTGCCGTCGTTGCTAGTTCTTCCACGTATTTCTGCTTGTCGGCTCTAATGCACTTCTTCACTTGTTTGTTTGCTTCTATGTATTCAGCTTGTGCTTAGACTTTCTCTGCTCGTGTTCGGCTGTTGTTTATTGCTGTCTTCTTTTTCTTCCTTTCTTTGATCCTGTCCAATGTTTCTATGGAGATCCATTCCTTATGATGGTATTTCTTGAGGCCCAGAACCTCTTGACACGTTGAAGTTAATGCTTCCTTGATGCCTTTCCAGTTTTCCTCCATACTAGTTTCTTCTTCTTTCAGTAGGTCCTGTAAGGCTTAGAACCTGTTGTTGTGAGCTATCTTGAATTCGTTGAATTTGTTAGTATCTCGAAGGAAGGCTGTATTGAACCTTTGTATTGCTGTCTGTCCACTTGTCCAGTTCTTTTTTAGCTTCAGTTTCAAATTGGCTACAACTAGGTGGTGATCTGAAGCTACGTCAGCACCTCTCCTGGTTCTCACATCTTCCATTGTCCTTCGGAATTTTTTGTTGGTGCAAATATGATCTATTTGGTTCTCTGTAGTGTGGTCCGGTGAGATCCATGTAGCCTTGTGTATACGCTTGTGTGGAAATATTGTGCCTCCTATGACCAATTTGTTGAATGCACATAGATTTGCAAATCTTTCCTCATTTTCGTTTCTCTCTCACAGTCAATCCATGTCGTCCCATGATATCTTCCTTTCCGGTGTTGTCTATTCAGACTTTGGCATTTAGATCTCCCATCAGAATGGTGAGGTCATTTCTTGGGCACTTCTCTATGATTGATTGCAGCCTCTCATAGAATTGATCTTTAATGTGGTCGTTGCTCTCATTGGAGGGTGCATAACATTGGATAATATTCATTGTGATCTCCTCCTTCTTTGTTTTGAATAATGCTTTGATGATTCTGAATCCGTGAGATTCTCATCCTACAAGTGCATTTCGTGCTACTTTGTACAGCATCAGGGCAACTCCCTGAGTGTGTGGAGCATTTTTCTCTTCGTTACCGGAGTATGGCGGCAACTCTCCCGTATCTAGACTTTGTCCAGCTTGGGTCCAGTGCGATTCTCTGATTCC